ACAACTGAGACCCACAATTTCGCTGTTTGCTGGACTAGATGCAATTAAAAGGCTTGGGGTTGATCTATGTATTTAGAAAGATACTATTGCCAGTCTTGCCTTATCTTGGGTATAATAAACTCCTAAATTTGCAAATGTAAAATTTCATGACCTCATGACCCTCTCCTTTCTTTCACTTTATTTTCCGATTTACTTCAAAGCACTCTCACATTCTAAGTTGTATTCAGCGTATTGCTCAACAATATCTCCATCAGTTTCTGTCAACCTAGTTCTTTGTTACCTTTCATCTCAATCAACTAGGGCGAATCCACAAAATGCGCACATTCTAACGGTACTATTCTTGTTCTCACTGCCTTATTCAACTTGATAAAAAGAAAGACTTGTATAAAGTGTCAACAGTACTCTAGAGATCAGAGGATGACTGCAATTTTTGTCTTGAATACACAGAATGCAGTACTGACAGACATCTAAGTGAATGAATGATAGAGGTTATTTGTGAATAGTAAGGCTAAATCCGTGGATTCTAAGAATGTACTAATTTGTGTAATGTCTTATCTTAGAACAGAAATCACATGAATATCAGTTAACTATCTCTAATCCATGCAATCCCCTGAAAATTTGTCACATATACAACAGTAAAACTGAAATAGGAACCTTGACTTAGTATGACAAATTGTTAACCTCCACACACTACTTATATCAACAAACGGCAAAAATAACCAGGTTATCAGCTGTAGACTTGAAAAATCCCATTTCAAGTTCAGTTAACGTCAAAATCAAGAAGCTAATATTGATCAGAGAATTAATACTATTTATATATAGCCACAATAAGGAGTGATCAGATCAAAATCTTGAACCTTGAAGTTTCCTTGTCCTTATCACTCCATAAAGGAGTAACCAATACATTGCATATGAAAAGTAATTAGAACTTGTGTCACACAACCACAATTTACCTGTACAGACTTCACTACCCCCATGATAGTATGACCCAGATGAGATATAAACAAGAATTCCAACAGTAGCATGTACAACATGTTTTCACAAAACGGTGAGTAACACGTTCAGGTAAGAAGTAGAGAATGCATCACAGAAAAGTAAATAAAACAGGCAAAATGAAGGTGAAGTTGTAATGAGTTTCAGATACTTGATGAAAATACAACGCAATAAAATATTGTTTAGATGACACTACTAGCTAATAACAAGTAGTATAAGGTAGAACGCATAAAGATGTAAGAAGGCGGTTGCACAATCACGGAATCGAGGTAAATTGTACGACAGATTTAACCTTCACAACAACAAAATTATATTTTGAAGGAGTTGTGGAGATTTGGAAATATTTCAAGCTGTTATTCATCATAGGCTGACATCAGTTGGAGGAACAAAGCTGTCCAGTGCTCCCAGGTCTCGTTTATTCCTCCAACTGATGTCAGTCTACGATGAATAACAACTAAAAACAAAATTATAGATGTTTATTCAGCGCATAATGGTTATAAGAGGACGATTAAACATGGCGATGAGGGTAGGCAGATGTTAGATTCGAGGCACTAAACTTCATCACATTTCTTCAACTGCTCGTTGTTAGAGTTTATAAAAGTGGTTGAACTTTACTTCTAAGAATAAGGGATGAATATAATTTTTGAGAATTATAACAAAGTATTCACCCTTTATTTAGAAGATAATAGGTGCGGAAAAGTATACACCTTTGAAAGTATCCTGACCAATAATTAACTTAATGGTATGGAAAAACTTGGGCTACGGGTTAGTATGGTTCATCGTATAAGGTGTACATTTACACGTGTAATCCCGGCGTAGTATATTAGAACAAATAACAAAATAAACAAGTATTTCGTATTATTCCTCAGCGTTTCAATCTTGATAAAAAATCCCATTCACCAGTATGGATCTAACATCAAGTAATTACGTTAATATTCAAGTTTTGGTACAGAAGGTTGTGAAATGACGATAGTCCAATTAAGTAGAAACATGTAAAAAACATCAGGTGGGTGAATAAGCAAAACGGTTAGAGAGTATTCTTTTATTTGCACAAGTATGGTGGAAAAAAAATCAAGTCGAGAATTTTGGTTCAACTATGAAAAGGATCTTCAAAAGGATATTCCTAGCAACATCGAAAAGTCGACGAATAATACAAAATATTTCTCTCTATTGCTATTGGTTCTAATATACTAGGCCGGGATGACACAAGTAGAAAAAAACAGTATAAGATGAATTATATATATATATATATATATATATATATATATATAACCAGCGTTGATTCCTATAAGCATTGATGGCATGCATTGGATCATGTAACAGACAACTTTGAGGAGCTGTGAGAAGATGGGGATGGGCTGGTTGGACCGAAGAAAAGACCATAGAAGATTTCGATTTCACCGATGATGATTCATGTCTAATGTGTTATGTCGCACAAACTCGAAGATCTATGGGCGAAAACCAACAAGTTGGTAGAAGAGGCGAGGCGAGTCTAGGTGAGGCAGTGAAGGAAGATGGGACTTGCTTCAGGTGAACGTAGAGAAGACGGAGGTGATGAAGATACTCAACCGTCAACAGCAACAACAACAACAACAAACACCAATCACCATCAACTGGAGAGAGAAATGTAAAGGAAGTTGTCTCTTTCACCTACCCACCTACATAGACAGCATCATTTCAACTACAGGCGAAGGCAGCGGTGGGGGCGGCGGCAACACAGTTGAGCATGTCAAAGCAGTCAGACTCGGAAAGACAGTAACACAGGCCTTCCTTCATTGATCCGAAATAATCAGTGTGGAGATCTACTCCACTGCAGTGCACTGCACAACACTGTACTACACTGCACTGCATAGCACTGTACTGTACTGTACTGCACTCAGCATACAGCGTGAACAGCATCCAGATTTCCAACACTAATGTGAGTCAAATGAGTCAGTGCATCTGTGTGATGATTGAGAAACTTGACTGCGCATCATGAGAAGCATTTCCAACAAACTGCAAACATTCTGTGAGGAAGAGATGAATGCTTGTGGGTAGTGGTAGAGACAGGTTGGAAAGACTGGAGAGAACAGAGTGAAATGGTGGCGTGCTAGTGAAGCTGTATGCTCCACAAAGAACTCAAACGAGAAATAATAATAGAATGATCGATATCATAGTTGTTCAGACGGATTATCCACGTACACATAGGTTCTGAGGAAAGTACATGTGAGACATCATTTTCGTTTTTCAGACTGGATGATGTGACAGAATATGTGAGTTTGGAGACTGAATTCTCGATTAATTCAGATTCGTCAACGTTTGTTTGACTTCCATACGCTTTAGTACTGCACCAACAGATGATCCTTCTGTGTATCAGGAGTGCATACACCATTGAATTAATAACAATCACTTGATGTTCATCAATGTTGACCGACTGTCAGAACAACATCTTCTTGGTTTCCTTATCAGTCTTGTAGAGATTCAGTTATGACTGAGGTAGCTTAGTCGCAATACGTCTCAAACTGTGCTCTTAATCAAGACACGTTTTTGAATCGTTAATATAGTTAGTTAGTTATCGGAAAATTACTCATTCTAGTAGAAAGTTTGAAGTAACAGAAGGGAGCTTATTCAGCAAGCTTCTGATATTCCTCCTCAATTGCTCAGCAGTAAAATAATGCTAACAGGCACCCAACTGAATATCCATACTTCATACTATAAATTAGAGATAATTGTAAGACATGATGAAGGAAATTGAAACCGACTATGTTACTTCCTGGCACATACATATATCATACATTTAATGGGATGACATCTGAAGGTATCCAAAAACTCGAATTGATTCATTCTTCAAGATGGATATCCTGAAGTTTTAACGAGGAGAAAGCATGACCTGTGGGATAAACCAGTTGAGAGTGAAGCCAATACCCACTGAAGACCTTGATGAATAGTCGCACTACATCGCGAATTGACAAGAGGAAGAAAGTGTGAGTCATTGATGTTTGGTCCTGTGGCTGGATGTTTAAAAGGTTCTCCATGAGACCTGAAGACCATTAGTTCGTTCCCTTGTGAGTTGGTAAGTGCGTGCTACTGAGGAGTCCCACACTAGAAAGAAACAGTTGTGCAGTAAGTATTCCAAGACCTTCAATCATTTGTGGTGAATAGTACCTTGAAAGAAATCCTTTTCTCACACGAACTTGATGCAAAAAGTGATGCATTCAGTACTGATGATGAGAGTTGGAGGAAGTCATCTTTGTCAGAGGTATGTTGACTCTTGGTTCAGATCCTTACCTACAATGCTGTAAGGATTAATTGTTGCAGTTTAATTTGTCACTCAGCGATAACACATTCAGCTAACCAATATTATCCTGAATGATGATAACTATTTGTTCATCGAACTTATCAATAACAACAAGAATGATATAACTCAAGAATTACATGCATCGTTGCACTGCTCGTAATGGATCCTCTAGCCAGCTAGTCAAACCCATCAGTAGTTTGGCACGACCTTGCAAATATACGCTATTGTGTTCTTCTTTGGTCTCGTATTCGTATAAATGATTAGTGATTGTGTTCTACGTCTGTTAAGTTCGTGCAAGGACAATTCCTAGAGGCTATTTGACCGAGTTTTTACAATGTTCTTTTGTTTTTCTTTTTATGTGATTGTTTTTCACATGTTTCACATGTTTAACAAAACATGATGATAGGCTTTCAAGTTTATATTTGCATTTTCTTTTCTCTCTCTGCATTACACGTAAGTATATCAGCTAATCAGCATTCACCGTCTGTTATCACTAGTACAGAAATACAGCCTCCCCTCTTTACTCAACGTCTGATACAACGTTACCAAGTTTTATCCAAGGGCAAATCAATAAAGCTATGTGTATACGTGTAATTATGGAAACCTAAATAAGGTTCATAATCCAGGCACCAAAATGAATCCCTCAAACCAATCAGAATTTAGTTTGAAAACAGAAAAAAACATTCGTTTAATATATGATATATATTTCATGACTTAGTGTCTATAAAGTGATTGAGAATCATGATAGAACGGTGATACGTACACACATATACAAAATGGATATATCACAGAATACAGAAAAGCTTCAAACAACTTCATTATCGTATGCTTCTAATCAACATAAAGCTCGACGTTTAAAAGTACTTCAAGAGCTTGAAGATCGTAAACTTCAATTAAATCATAATCGTTTAATTAAAGCACAAAATAGAGTTTGTAGACAACTTGATTTTCAACGTTCACAATTTACTAGAAGATTTTCAGAATCTAGTTTTACACCATCTTTAATTGAGGAATTATCACCAAAATTATCAGCTAATGAAAGTATAATTTCAGATATTAGGCGAACAAAACAAATGAAACAGAATTCAATGGATTTAGAAATTCATAATTCTCGTCGTCGATTACGTTCTCATGAAGATATAGAAGAGAATTTAGACTATCCATTTTGGTTAAGATTACGTTCATTAGGTGTACCATCTGATGAAGATACATTACTTGCTGCATTAACCTGTAAAAATATGAATATTGATGAAAAATCAAAGCCTGATTGTGATGATGTATTTGGGTCTACTTCAAAATTGTTAAATACTAATCAAACTTCAACAGAAATACAAATGAATCCTAAGAAACAACGTTCTTCTAGTGTCACAGAAGCAGATGAAACATTTGAACATTTACTGAATTCAAGACGAATAAAACGTTCTATAAGTTTAGAAGATAAAAAACCAGACTGGTTATTAGCATTATATCAAATGAAACAAGAAAAATTATCTCATCTTAATTCAAGTAGTAAAGAAGAGATAGCTGCACTTGTTAGTGGTAATAAATTCTATAATTCAAAACGATCTCATCTACTCAATGTAAAATATCAACCACGTAATTATCGTTTAATTAGATCACATCGACATACTGTTGTCGGTATGACAAATGAATTGATATAATTAATGATAAATATTATATTGAAAACTGTATACTACTTAAATTAGACTAAATGGATTATTTGATGGGTTTACTGTAGTGAGTTTCTTCGTGTATTTTAACCAATCTGTCACACTCTCTCTCTCTCTTTCACTGTCTAAAAATTTGATGTAATGGTAAATATATTTGTTGTTTAACATGTAATTTCTTGCTGCTATACAGGGTCGAGTTGTTCGACCTCTGTTGACCTACGGGTTCTTATACGGATGCCTCGATACGGCAATATATATTCATTGTATTGTATTCATCTTGTTGACTAGCATTGAAATCCAGGATATGAGTTTTGTCCCAGTTAGGATTCATCAGCTGAGTGTATCTGCACTTCAGTGAGTGATGCTGCTCTCGTTGAGACTCGAATGTAGTACCCGTTGCTGTAACTACCAAGATGGTATCCACATGAGGTGGCTCTTGTGCTCCAATGGTCTAGAACATAAAACTTTATTGTTTAAAGCAATGGGTACTGGAAAGAAAACCACTCACTAAGGTGCAGGTACATCCAGTTGAAGGGTCTGAAATAGAACTAGACACGCGCCATCTATTCCAGTGCTAGTCACCAAGATGAATTCAATATCTTAGATATACTTATCAGAAGTATTTTAAATTCATATGCATTCCTGTAGACACTAGTGCTCTACCTGCAATGGTGATGACTGCAGACAATCGATATTATGATGATAAAGTAAGCAATATGATACAGTTGAAACAAAGCAAGAAGACTTGGTTCTCAGTAGGAAGTGGATCGTTCATCGCCAGGAATCCAGTCTAACAAATCTGAAAGCTAAGTTCAGAGATTCATTTGCTAAGGTAATCTTGATTCCAGTTTCATTGTTAGCAGTTTGGTCTTATCATTATGCGAATGATTGATACTTAACGGTTTCTTTATTATCGGTACTCTGGCTACTGCGCGTGTCCACTACTAGTAGGTGATATAAAGCAATAACTAACAGATATTAAGTGTGCTCAAATAGTCGAAAATTCTTAATTTTACAATAACAGCGAATTCAGAAACGATAATGCAGTACTGTTCAATTTTAGTTTTCAGTAAAGGTAGCTTTGTTAGTTGATTGGAGGCAGACCGGCAGGGATAACTGTTTCGCCAAGGGGAATCTACAACTTCCAAGGAACCGATATTTCTTGTAAGATTCGAACCCACATCACCCAGTGTTGTAGTCAGCGAGCGGTCCAAATAGCTCGGTAGTGACGTCGCTGACTACAAAACTAGGTGTTGTGCGTTCCAATTTCAGGCAGGACATCAGTTCTGATGACGTTGCATGTACGCCTCGTTGACCAGTACCAACAAGCACAAAACCTGCGTCGAGCGGGGAGTTTGCACAGTAGTACTCAAAACTGCGATCCACTGCCTAAACCAATAAACACTACAAACCCACTTAATCTGTCGGTTTTAGTCATGACTAGCCAGTTTAAGTAGGTAGCCAAATAATTTGATCAATTCAACTCCCTGAACTGAATTAATCTGCTGTACTTTGTCACAAAAGAGGTAACTAGCTATCCGGTGTTTACATCACCTTGATCTAGCTAACTAGCACCACTGATCAGTGTAAGAGGTTTGGAGCTATCCGTTCCACTCAGTCAGTAGTATATTCCACACAGCTTTGATGAAATTCCTTTGACTTGAACAGTATACTTAATTCATTATCTATGGCAATAAATTGACGTATTAACTTATTATTATAAAGTGGAAATAAGTATAATCCAGTTATCTAAAAGTGATATATAAACTTCAGGTGAACAGTTGGATGTACGTGAAACATTCTTCATCTTAACATGTTCAAGCATATATACAAAAAACCATCATATTATAATCATATAAGAATGACAAACCGATGCATGTAATTCTTGAGTTATATCATTCTTGTTGTTATTGATAAGTTCGATGAACAAATAGTTATCATCATACAGGATAATATTGGTTAGCTGAATGTGTTATCGCTGAGTGACAAATTAAACTGCAACAATTAATCCTTACAGCATTGTAGGTAAGGATCTGAACCAAGAGTCAACATACCTCTGACAAAGATGACTTCCTCCAACTCTCATCATCAGTACTGAATGCATCACTTTTTGCATCAAGTTCGTGTGAGAGAAGGATTTCTTTCAAGGTACTATTCACCACAAATGATTGAAGGTCTTGGAATACTTACTGCACAACTGTTTCTTTCTAGTGTGCGACTCCTCAGTAGCATTCACTTATCAACTCACAAGGGAACGAACTAATGGTCTTCAGGTCTCATGCAGAACCTTTTAAACATCCAGCCACAGGACCAAACATCAATGACTCACACTTTCTTCCTCTTGTCAATTCGCGATGTAGTGCGACTATTCATCAAGGTCTTCAGTGGGTATTGGTTTCACTCCCAACTGGTTTATCCCACAAGCCATGCTTTCTCATCATTAAAACTTCAGGATATCCATCTTGAAGAATGAATCAATTTGTGTTTTTGGATACCTTCAGATGTCACCCCATTACACGTATGATATATGTATGTGCCAGGAAGTAACATAGTCGGTTTCAATTTCCTTCATCATGTCTTACAATTATCTCTAATTTATAGTATGAAGTATGGATATTCAGTTGGGTGCCTGTTAGCATTATTTTACTGCTGAGCAATTGAGGAGGAATATCAGAAGCTTGTTGAATAAGCTCCCTTCTGTTACTTCAAACTTTCTACTAGAATGAGTAATTTTCCGATAACTAACTAACTATATTAACGATTCAAAAACGTGTCTTGATTAAGAGCACAGTTTGAGGCGTATTGCGACTAAGCTACCTCAGTCATAACTGAATCTCTACAAGACTGATAAGGAAACCAAGAAGATGTTGTTCTGACAGTCGGTCAACATTGATGAACATCAAGTGATTGTTATTAATTCAATGGTGTATGCACTCCTGATACACAGAAGGATCATCTGTTGGTGCAGTACTAAAGCGTATGGAAGTCAAACAAACGTTGACGAATCTGAATTAATCGAGAATTCAGTCTCCAAACTCACATATTCTGTCACATCATCCAGTCTGAAAAACGAAAATGATGTCTCACATGTACTTTCCTCAGAACCTATGTGTACGTGGATAATCCGTCTGAACAACTATGATATCGATCATTCTATTATTATTTCTCGTTTGAGTTCTTTGTGGAGCATACAGCTTCACTAGCACGCCACCATTTCACTCTGTTATCTCCAGTCCTTCCAACCTGCCTCTACCACTACCCACAAGCATTCATATCTCTCACAGAATGTTTGCAGTTTGTTGGAAATGCTTCTCATGATGCGCAGTCAAGTCTCTCAATCATCACACAGATGCACTGACTCATTTGACTCACATTAGTGTTGGAAATCTGGATGCTGTTCACGCTGTGTGCTGAGTGCAGTACAGTACAGTACAGTGTTGTGCAGTGTAGTGCAGTGGAGTAGATCTCCACACTGATTATTTCGGATCAATGAAGGAAGGCCTGTGTTACTGTCTTTCCGAGTCTGACTGCTTTGACATGCTCATATGTGCTGCCGCCGCCCCCACCGCTGCCTTCGCCTGTAGTTGAAATGATGCTGTCTATGTAGGTGGGTAGGTGAAAGAGACAACTTCCTTTACATTTCTCTCTCCAGTTGATGATGATTGGTGTTTGTTGTTGTTGTTGTTGCTGTTGACGGTTGAGTATCTTCATCACCTCCGTCTTCTCTACGTTCACCTGAAGCAAGTCCCATCTTCCTTCACTGCCTCACCTAGACTCGCCTCGCCTCTTCTACCAACTTGTTGGTTTTCACCTGTAAATCTTCGAGTTTGTGCGACATAAGACATCAGACATGAATCATCATCGGTGAAATCCAAATTTTCTATGGTCTTTTCTTCGGTCCAACCAGCCCATCCCCATCTTCTCACAGCTCATCAGAGTTGTCTGTTGCATCATCCAGTCCAATCCTCTCAACCACAATCAGGAAAATCATAGGTGATGATTGTAGATGGCAACCTTGTCTTACTCCTTCCTGTCTTCACTCAGCTTCCCATTGTCAATCACATGGCATGTAGCCTCCTCATATAGCATAGTATAGAGCTGTTGAATCAGGTTGGTAAAAGTTTGTGGCACTAAAACCGTAGTGTTCAAGCAGTTGCCTGCCAATTTACTTCTCGATCGACGCTGTCGAAGGCGTTTTCAAAATCAATGAAGTTCATGTAAAGATCCAGTTAACTGGCATTCTATGCTCTGTTCTATGATGATGCATAGCGTAGAGTTGTGATTTGATCCGCATATGATTGTTTTTCCTGAAGCCAGCCAGCCAGCCTGTTCCGGTCGTAATTTTGAGTGCAGAGGATTTTTTAGTCTCTCCAGGATGGTGCGACTTAATATTTTCCTTGGGGTGGACAGGAACAGAACATGATTCCGACCCAGTTTTTGCAATGACTTAAGTCGCCCTTCTTTTGGAGTTCGAAGTTTTACATGGTACTGACATAAAATGATTCAGAACAGACTGACTTTATTTGTCGATGTATTCCAGTGGTATCTTGTTACTAATTTGTGTACTGAAATTTCACCAGTTTTATAAATACAATCAATAGTGTATGCATAGAAAATGTAGTAGTGAGTATTTGCAAAGTAGACTTGTGAATGCCTAAATAATGGGATGAGTTCTGTCTGGAAGTTTGTGAGTTTATTTTAGGTTGGTATTCATCATAGACTGATATCAGTTGGAAGAACATTGGAAACCTGGGAGCAGTGGACAGCTGCCCTGTCCTAGTGCGGAACTCCCCAGCAGTGCGCACTCGTGACCCCACCCCTCCATATATTGAATCCAGTACCTTCAGGTTCTGTGGCCAACATGTTATCATTGAGCTACTGGGTCGGAATCCAGTCGTCTGCATTTCCTACTTCTGAGTTCAGGATTTAGCGTGAACTACATCCAATGTTGTCGTTGAGTAAGTGTCCTCATATTCGACTTGGTTGACTCGACTTCTTATTGGAACTCCAGGAATCACCTCTCGTAGCTAGTCACCAATCAGTGCTAGATTAATTCTACCTGGAGGTTTATTAATTGACTTTAGGTAGGAAATGTGAACGGTTGGATTCCGACCCAGTAGCTCGATGGTAACATGTTGGCCACAGAACCTGAAGGTACTGGATTCAATATATGGAGGGGTGGGGTCACGAGTGTGCACTGTTGGGGAGTTCCGCACTAGGATAAGACAGCTGTCCACTGCTCCCAGGTTTCCAATGTTCTTCCAACTGATGTCAATCCATGACGAATTCCAAATGGGATGAATTACTCTATTGTCGAATCTACCTTACTTAACATACGGTAATGAGTGAACTAGAATTTTTGTACTGATCAGTTATTATTGCAACTTTTATCGTTATGTTTAAACGCAGGTAACCTTTGCTTATCACTACGCTCAGTTTAAAATGTATGACCCCGAAAATACTCAATCGTTCTCTAGAATCACTCTAATGTAAGAAAGCGTTCGCGGAAGTCTTGCTCATTGCCTTCATATGACGCTAGTGGTTCTGCGATACGGGAATGAGTTTCCGGTGTTTACCGTAGAACTGGTCGAATTCGATGGTTCTTCTGAGGGAAGTTAGAAAACTATGATATGAGAGTCACTGAAAGCCGCCACCTTGACGTGGTGGTCGGGCTCGCATATCACGATGACCCAACGAACTATGCTGGTGGAATGCTTATCTGCTCGAGGTTCTTACCATACCATAAAGGTCATTTGGATAGTGGTTAGACAAAAAGAAGTTATCCTTACCCTTAAGGTGTTCTTAAACGAAGAAATGATGCATTATGGTGGCTTAGATCAGTGGTGATTCAAAACCACATGACCTATGTCCAACCACATCTTCTATAATACAGACCAACTATCGTGGCATCAAAAAGACCGTGCGTGGTCGGCCTCAAGCAGGTGCTTATAGGCTCTGAGGTCACGCACTTGCCCTCCTTTTGAGTTACCTCAAAAAGATCTAGCCTTCCACGGTATGGGCAGCCGGGGAGTGTCAACCGCCCTCACGACTCTATCAGCGCTCAAGTTCTCTAAGACCACTATCCACCTTCCTCATCCTTACCTTTTAATCTTTCTTCAAATCTCTGTTAACAATCCTAAATCATCTATAGTTACCTCCAGCTCTGGGGCTTTTGACAACGATCCAAGTCCACAGAACAGCATCCTTGTTATCTTAAATCACATTTCAAATTACACACTGGAGCATTCGATGTCCGCACTCTCCGTCAAATTAGCCAACAAACTTCATTGGTCAAAACTCAGGCTGTGTCTGTAAGACACACATAAGAGCCCAAGAGTGGTTATTTACTTAACCTCTCCCGGCCAATATGGTGAATCCGCGAAATCCACCCTTCGAGTTTCTAGAGATTCGATGGTTAGTTCTCGCGGTCTTGCAGGTGTCGGCATAGCATTAGGCACTGGGGTAGATAGCTCACAAACTAAGGACTAACAAAATGCAATTAATTTATCTAGGTCCCTGATAAGCCGACACTTATCAGACATGTTCTGAACAGATCAAATACATTTTCACATCTACTTGTCCCAATGAAGTGTAAATAGTTTCGCATAATCTTTTCATCAAGATTCATAGTCGACTTTGGATTTATCAAGGTCATATGTGACTGGTCTCAAGTAGATATCTCTTGGGCTCTACAATTAAGCACTAACCCTTCTTTTTTTTCGAAATACCTTAAGAATAAACAGCCTTCCACGGTGTGAGCAGCCATCCTAACAACTCTATCCGTACTCAAAGTCCACATGTAAGTATCATATTTTTTTTTGATAGAAAAAACATACAAATTAAAATCATATCGAGAAATCTCTGTACCAGTGAAGGAATAAAAAGTGATCAGTATATATATATATATATATATATATATATATATATATATATATTTGCATTTAATGAGTAAAGGTAATGAATAGGAGAGTAATTTGTCTGTCAAGTATGCCAAATAAACACACACATCGATAACTTCTATGAGGAATATGTAACACTTATATAAAAACATTAAATAAATAAAGCAAAGTGAAGCACATATCATCGGACAGCCAGAGAAAAGAAGAAGCTATGCATGTATATATGGACACAAATACATCCTTTTTAAAAATACACCCCATTTATACAGCAAGAAGAATGGTAAGAATTCTGTACATAGATATTGAAAAATAGTTGTAAATCTCTTCAAGATTATTCATTCATGAGAAATGTGATTCAACCAAAAATTTACGAGTAGATGAACAAAGGAACAGTGATATTCGATCGAAATAATGCAAAAATCTAGGCAGGAAAAGGAAAAGAACAATATGAAAATAGATGACGGATTTGGTATAAACCAGTTTTCAAGGGGTTATGAATTATAATAGAAAACATTTGAGGAGAGAAATGATAGAAATCGATATTTAGGATTTGGAGCAAATGAAGACTTGGCTTCTAAGTCACATTCGAGTTCGTCTACTCAAAAATGTATTTTACATATGTCTGACTACAAAGTGGGTAACAAGTAAGTATATTATTCTAATCACGGCTCTTAACTTCAACTCATGTAACCATGTCACAGCGTGTGGAAAGTTGTCGTTCAAAGCGACGACAACCAGTGATATCAGCCAAAGTATTCAACTATACAACACTGTTATAGATGTGTTGATGAACATAAATCTACATACTGCCAACTTCTTGGATATTGACTTACTCCCAAGAAAGCACCTGGTCAACTTACGGCGTGAAAACAATGAGTTGACAGTGCGTAGTCTTCTGAATGGCATGATTAGAAATTTGAGAATATTTAGCACGCGCTTTGCGCCTATCAAATGTAAGATAATGTGTCACAACTACCTTGCATCAACTCATCACTTATGGATAGAGAAGAAAGTGGTGGAACGTGTTGACCACTTCACATATATGGGACGATGGAGCTATGGCTCATTGGCCTAGGTGCTCGACTTTTAACCAGTAACTCATGGGTTCAAACACTGCTCCACTTACCGAGGGTCTCAGCAACCGGATAGCTTCCTTAGCCCTGCGCGAAAGTGCTTATGGCTGTTGAGTGCACTTCAGCTTTTCTTCTATATTTGTAAAATGGTATCAGCCCAAACAAGTTCGTTGCTGATGAATATTTAGCTCAATTTCTAAAGGTCCGTCTGATACTTGGCAACTTATAGAGTCTGTGAAACACTCGACAGCCTATCAAAGCAAAGCAGTTTTCCCTGTCCTATTGTATGGCTGTCAGATATGATCATCGAAAGCAGATATTAAGAAATTGTAAGTTACTGACAAAAGGTATCTGAGTATCGGTGTTTGTGTGTGGTAGAATCTTCATGTAAGCCATACTAAGGTTAGGTGCAAATTATTAGGCAAAAAAAGGCAAGTCAGTAGATACACCTTTGTTAAGTTTAATATCACTCTTCTTCTGTTCACCTCCTTTATGCGTGATGGTGTGACACATAGTAACTTGAAGCGAGATCCTAAGTTGACTTGGTTGTCTTTCTCTTGGGATTTTATAAACATCTATTTAGAAAATCCGCAGTTTCCAGATGTATGGCACAAATATATATCAATTACCATATACACGTACGTGTACTGAGTAGAGTTCGGTAACATCGAATCGGAGAGAGATGCACTCAGCAGCCTTTTATACATTCGTGCAGTAGGCAATAAACTACATCTGTTTTGTGAGGGTTAATGATACTACTTCCTGGCTACCCAAACTTCGGCAGGCGGAGTGGGGTTCGAACCCGTGATTCATTGCTTGAAAGTCAATTCACTAAACCGACGAGCGACACTTCCTAGATCGTAATATAGCTAACCGACTAAAATGAATGATACTGAAAAAAAGTAACTCACAAAGTGAAACAATAAACAGTAGACAGAAATGTTACTGCTCCACTGCATAATGTGGATAGCGAGTGCTACAATCAGATGTTCGATCCGGGAAGCGGAATCGCAGACGATCAGTATCATATTTATATATTTTGAGGGAAACTCACAGAACATATATCTTCCTAAATTTTAACTACGCACTGGTGGGTAACACATGTACCTGTCTAGTTGTCAGTATTCAGTAACAAACTAAGGTTTTTAATACGGTCATTTAGCTAAGGAACGCAACACCATGGGCGATTTAGACAGTGCGGGTCGGCTGTGAGGAAGCCTTGGACTAATGTTTCGTCATTGTTGACACTCATCGAATAGACCGATAAACTTCGGTCAGTGCCGCAGCACTAAGGACTAAACACTTACGTCAATTACACCTACTGGTGACCAATTTGTAGGCATAATCTACTTCTATATGGGTCAGTCATGATCTGAATAACTTGGTGGTTAAGTCACTGACTTCAACAGGGAAGGACGTAGGTATAAATCACCGACAGAGCATTAGCTTCCGTGTAATTTCACATACATTTTGCTAATGATTTCGAAGATACAGTCGAATTCGCACACACTGCTTGAATGCAGAAAACGATGTTCATCAGTTTGAAGTTGATATAGTGGAATTCAGTCACTTTGATGTCATTAATTATTCATCTAACTAAAAAGTATGAGTTCATCAAAGTTGATTTCCGTCACGGATAGTGAAAACACAGGTTTACAGAGTGTCTGGTGAAAAAAATGACAGGGATCCATGATGCAAGTTTTGTCCAATTTGAGACTTGCCAACTGTACCTCAGTAAGTGATGTTGTTCCACTGAGACTCGTGAGTGGCCTTTGTGATTCCGTAGCCTGGTGAATAATGCTGTGAAGTGATGTGCTGGATTAAACTCTCAGTGGTAACATTTTTACTCACTAGGATGCAAGTACACCTAGATGATGAGTCTCAAACAAGAAGAAATGCCCGTCCAGAATCACACCACTAGCTGCTGTCAGTGGAATAAAATTGACATAAAACTTGGGGAAATGTTTAGGCATCTGTTCAAGAAGTCCATAAGTCAAAATAAGACGACCAATTAGATTCAGTATAGTAATCATTGGGAAATTATCAGAGTGAATACATTCACCCCACAAAGACAGATGTCTAGCCATTTTAACAAAAGCCTTCAACCACTGATTCCTATGGTCTTGAAGACCCCAACCAGATACTCCACACTTCTTAAACGATGGCTCAAACTGACAGTTATAGACTCGATGGATTGATGCCACATCTTAGTCTGTTCACCTAAAGCTTTCTTGCTACCCAATCCCAACTTCTCGTAGCATAGTTTGTCGAGGTAAGCAGTGGGTCACCATGCGTAACACATATTTAACCCGCCTCACTCAATGAAGGTTCACCACCTCATCGACTTACTTTCCTTTCTCAGCTAGTACCCTTCACCTGACCTCAACATTCGTAACATGACAATGTCAACCATACGCGAACAATCATAGGAAGACACCTGTAGTCAGAAATCTGTAAACACTTCATAACTTCCGTTTTCAATGTCCATGTCTCACAGCTGCGCAACAAGACAGAATGAACTGTAGCGTTGTATACTCATTCTTTAACAGATAGGCAGATATCTCACAAGCCGGTTTTAGAGTTGATGGAAGTTGGCAAATGCCGAACAGACCTTCGGTATTCGATATTCAATCAGAGATTTTGTCAGCAACCAGCCTGTTCGGGCTAGTGCCACTCCCTAAGTAGGTAAAGTAGTCGACACATTCCACCACTTAGCTTTTCATCCTTAAACTAGGAGCAGTTGTAGACTGATCATGAGACATCAAATTACATTTGACAGGTGCGAAACGCATGTAAAGTATACTGAGATTTCTGCTCAACACCTTCAGAAGAGCCTGTATTCTGTCAGCGTTTTCACCTACCAGAACAATGCTATCTTCGTACTCTGAGTCAAGCACATGCCCTCCGGAGCCAGAGGTACCTAAGATGATATTCCTTAGTAGATCTATGACAAAGTTGAACATGAACGGTAACCATGGGCATCTTTGGCGGACACCGTTGGTTGTTGTCTATTCAGATGACAACTGTGGATACGGCCTTACGCGGTTACATAAGTTCGACTAGATAGCTTTGATACTTGATGGATATTCCTTTAACGGTCAGACACTGCCGCAATACATTACAGTCAACAGAATCAAATGCTGTCTTCAAGTCAAGAAATACGGAGTGTCCACCGCTGGTAAGTGTGTCTGTATTCCAGGACCTGAAAAACTCATCGATGCACCATCATCCAAGTACGAAACCCACATGGGTTACTCGAGTTTGTTGTTCTCAAGTCCCATTTAGGCGTCGGATGACTATGAACCTATATATATGCATACATCTATTAGGAACATTATTGAGACTAATTACTTGAAGTGAAATATATGTTGTTGACCACTTCAATTTTTTTCAAAGTTCGGTACAATATCTCATTGGTACTATTTAATAGTACAAACATATGACCGTTTATCAGCAAGGAACATACCGTCTTTTAGTGGAAACCGCCTGTCTGGAGTGTTCACCAGAGGTTAATGTACGCAAAATTGGGATGTAGTCACAAACAATCGATTTCAACTGATCACAGCGATTTGCACCCACTCCACAACGATTTAAATCCGATATACATTTTGACCAGGAAACTATTTGACTTCTAAATAAAAATTATTATTTGAAAGCAAATGGTAATGAATTTCAATGGAATTTATCATTTGACAAATACAACTTAACAGACAAGAGTTTTATAATTTAAGCTTAGAAATAAAGGGAAATATGGTCTGTATTCACCAGCATAAAATATACCACCGCGTAATAGATTCCTTAATCGGAAAATATCAATAGTTAATGATGGATAGTAGCTAGCAGTGGAATCCAGGATGCGCGTTTCGGCCTATTCGGGACTCGTCAGCTGGATGTAACTGCCTTCCAATGAGCGATGTTGTTCAATAAAGACCGATAGATTCGGTCCACTTAACGACGAGATAATACAAGCAACAACATTAATATCATTAGTTACACCATATATAGGTATAAATTTATTTCCGGTGTGCACTGAAACACGTAAATATGGTGTAGGATCACCTTGGGTCTGGTAGTCATGCATCGAATTTGTTAGGACTGAGAAGAAAAAGAATCACCTTTCCACGATGTGGATAACCGGGAAGTGTCAACTACTTTCATACTTGTTGTTTCTCGGTTTGTTAATTTACAAGAATAAAGCTTTTATTAAAATTGTTCAATGAATAATATATCCCGGTTCATCACTTTACACATTTATCAATAAACCTGGAGAAGTAAAGTCCTCTTTTAGAGTTAGCAAACAATATGACCTATCGAGTCGAAATTAAAATGTACTCGGTAACTTTGTTCACATAAACGCAATAAGCAATGATCCACATCTCATGTGTGAGGGCTAATGATACTAATACCTGGCTGCCCAAAACCCCGATAGGTGGAGCGGGACTCGAACCGTAACCCATTGGTTGAAGTTCATCCGTGTAAACCAATGAACCAAAGCTCCCACAGATAATTTATATAGTATATAAACTACCGAAGCATAAACCACATCTAAAAGCTCATCAAACAGCGGAGAATTACAAGTATATCAACAAATAGTAATGACTACTACCCGTTGTACGAAGAGTGGCTATTGTGACTCCGTGGCAGAGTGGATAACGCCTCGGCGTTTGAAGCGATTGGTACTGCTTTCGAGTCTCAGTGGGAACAGCATCACTCCCTGGTATGCAGGTACATCCGGCTGAAGAGTCCCAAATAGGACGAAACGCGCGTCCTGGATTCTTCTGCTAGCCACAACCAAGCTAATTACCATAATTAACATTCGGGCAATATCGAGGCATACACATAGGAGCCCATGTGCCAATAGAGGTCGAACAATTCGATCCAATAAAACAAAAGAGAATTACAAGTATATCAATGGAAAGTAATAATTCATCAAGTACTCCTTTTATACAATAAATCAGTGGCAGCATTGAATCTCACAATACTGTGTAACGGTTTAATTAGTTGCATCTCACATCAGCATATTAAACGAGAATGAGCACTAAAACAGAAGGAGAAATGAGACAATACTGAAATTCAGTATGACGATTAAGAAGAAGATAATGTGTGGAATGGATATGCATCACTAAGATCAATTTTGAACCATGTCATCCAGAGTCTCCAACCACCGGTTCCTACTGTCACATGGACTTCAACTGGGAAGTCTAAATTCTTCTATACAACTTAGATCAATGATGAGGAGCTTCATAAATGAATAATATGTTTTAGTTTGATGACATCTTACCTTTTTCCAGTTAACATTGTATAACAGGGTATAACATATATCTGAGTCGCTTCGGCCGATGAAGGCTTACTGTTTCACTAACTGGCTTACTTATTTTGCCAAAACTCTACATCTAACTTCCTAATTACTAAGAATTACCGCAACGACTATACAGTTCGGTTCTATACTTTTAATATCTTATTAATTATAATACAGTAGCTCAAAGAAACAGCATGAAGTCCTATTATCTTAGTGATCTTCTACAAGAAGTATAACTTCACAGAGATTCTATTAAAGTATAGTTGATAAACATTGAAAATGACGATATCAACAATTGTTATAAAGATACAACTCAGTACGAGGAAAACGTTCTATGAGGTTAGTGATGCTGTCTAGCTGTTCATACCCAGGTAAGTGGAACTAGATCTGAATACATGATCCATTGACTACGGGTTAAATGATGCCTTTTGCAAGGAAACAAGAATATTATTTGAAAAATGAACAGATGTTAACTTACGAATCAAATGATTTCAGGACTATATCTAGTCTGATCGGATTATTTATATGAGAAAGGTTGGAAGCGATTAAATTATTCTCAATTTGTTCAAGATTACTTTGACTATAATTCAGTAGAAGTTGTACCCAGAAGACATTGAAAAATTCATCGTTCAGATGATCAAATGCGATAATTGGCCCCCAGTGTTCAGTCGGTAAGTTAATCAAGCCTTTCATACATCCTCCTCCATGAGCAGACGATCTTGAATTGATGCTAACAGATGAATCTGTGCTAGGTGGTTTAGTGTTGTTACCTTCATTTGATTCCAGTATTGATGGTGTTATCATCCTTGTTATTTCAATCATTTGACTAAGTGAATTAACAATTGACAATAAAGACGCTCGATTGACACCCGATTGACAGATATCCCAGAAGGAAAGATTTTCACTCATTGTTTGCAAAGCCTTGAAAGTAGACTCGATTAACAGGGAGTTTTGTTTTTTGTCTTGAGCGCCATGTACATAACTTGATTCAACTACTTTCTTAGTCACAACTTCAGAAGTCTAGTAAACATGATAGAAGAATTTCAGTGTCATATGCTATTATGCTTATGATTACTGTAATAAATAAGGATATAGAAACAATGGTAGTTATCAATGGCATCAACTATGTACGCTTTACTCTTTACCAGAAATGCTCATCCTTATTTAAACGCAGATGAATGTCTAATACCTGTATGCCAGTGTATGAACATTCGTATTACAAAGATGACATTAACTCAATCGATTCAGAAGAGTTACCTTAAAGTCTAATGAATAAATAAAAACATTGTTTATCAGTTTACCTATCTGAGGTAGCCGCGGTTTGGTTGACTTGTATCAGTGTTGCTGAGTGATGTTTGAAGGTGAAATGAAGATCTAGGTCGAGGTAGGATTCGAACCAGTGACCACTTGGTTTCCGGCTCGGTGCTCTACCAACTAGACTACGAGACCCAACTATTGTCTGAATCCTGACGTGGTGCAGATCTTCATTTCACCTTTAATCACCACCCAGTAACAAAAACATCTTTGTTTATTGTTTATCATTGGGAAGGAAAAGTAGGTTCTATTTTTTTTTCAGTTATAGTAGGCGATTTGCTTAAACCTTTGACTACTAAACAGTTTCTTTACCAAACATATATTTCATCAAATCCTTCCCTTTTCAGTTTGTTTTAATCTTTTAAACATATCTTCTAGACGTATTACGCACTCTCACAGCTTTTTAAAATGTTTTCAAACTGTCATTTTTAAAGCTGAGAATGAAACAGAAAAAAACGTTAATCCCGATGGAAATCGACTTATAAGTGCTAAACAAATACAGTAAAGTACTATTCCTAGGATTCCTATATCGAATGGAGTATTTTTGTACTAGCTGACTGAACTACCACCACCGTAATTACACTCAATTTTGTATTCATCGCCAAGTACAGATAAAACGCTAATGTAACACCAGCTAAGCATTTCCCTTTAGTACCTACAATACTGTTATTATTATTAACCCTATTCAGATGCAAAACTTATCTCTTTTTAAATTTATATTTTACAGGAAACGAATATATTGAAATATTACCTAATAGAATTCCGTAATGTATCATACATGTTTGAAATAAAGCGATTGTTATCATTATCGTTATTATTACCATTATATTGTACTCGAAATATGTCGGTCAATTCAATATGCAACAGGAAATAAGAATTTGAAGATCAGTTTTTATTGTTGCTATTGGGTAACAAATGTAGTATAAGTAGTTTATACATTTGTGAATTTGTGTAACGTACATAAAAATTGGAACAACTGATTTATACTACAATTAAATTTTTTTTCTCTTACTTCACCTCCTTCCTCCTCCTCATATCTTTTTTGTTTACTTTGATATCACTCTTTTTTAATCCACTTTTTCTTTTTATACTATTGTGAAGTATGGTAAACTAAACCCATGCACTTCCGTACGACGACCTACATTCATTATGTCTGCCTGACATTACAATTATAAAAACACAACTCTAACCCGTTATATATATATATATATATATATATATATATATATATATATATATATATATACATATATATATATACAACTGTAAGTCTGTCAAAGTAAAACAATGCAAGTGCAACCATATTCCATACTAATGCCCAAGTATATTAATACATTTGTTTTATTTTATAAATCCTTTGTGTTCCTAGTGGAACATACGGCTTCAGTAACACGTCTTCATTTCACTCCTCTAGAGTCTTTTCAGCCTGCCTCTACGACCCTCTATAAGCTTTCATTTTTTTCTCATACGATTTCCTCCACGTCACCCACGTCACCCTCGGCCCACACACCCAACTCGTCATTCTCCATTTGGCGTCCACTCGGCGACCTGACATGACCCGGCCAGTTCTGGCCTCACACATGATATCTGTCAACACACCATCTACTCAGTCTATTTCCAGTTCAATCCCATCCATCTCCACTCTCTTATTCTGCATATTTGTTGGATGATAGATTCTCAGTTAGCTCGTTACCAGCCTGTCAGCCAGCCAGCCAGCCAGTCAGTCACAGTGGCTTCCTTCTTGCTTACTCTTATTCTTATCGCCATCTCATCTGATCTTCAGTGTCAGTATTGAGTGAGCGTGGGTGGTGGCAGCTGTTGATGTGATGTGTGTTTGCAGTTTGTTGGAAATGCTTCTCATGATGCGCAGTCAAGTCTCTCAATCATCACACAGATGCACTGACTCATTTGACTCACATTAATTTTGGAAATCTGGATGCTGTTCACGCTGTATGTTGAGTGCAGTACAGTACAGTGTTGTGCAGTGCAGTAGATCTCCACACTGATTATTTCGGATCAATGAAGGAAGGCCTGTGTTACTGTCTTTCCGAGTCTGACTGCTTTGACATGCTCATATGTGCTGCCGCCGCCCCCACCGCCGCCTTCGCCTGTAGTTGAAATGATGCTGTCTATGTAGGTGGGTAGGTGAAAGAGACAACTTCCTTTACATTTCTCTCTCCAGTTGATGGTGATTGGTGTTTGTTGTTGTTGTTGTTGCTGTTGACGGTTGAGTATCTTCATCACCTCTGTCTTCTCTACGTTCACCTGAAGCAAGTCCCATCTTCCTTCACTGCCTCACCTAGACTCGCCTCGCCTCTTCTACCAACTTGTTGGTTTTCACCTGTAAATCTTCGAGTTTGTGCGACATAAGACATCAGACATGAATCATCATCGGTGAAATCCAAATCTTCTATGGTCTTTTCTTCGGTCCAACCAGCCCATCCCCATCTTCTCACAGCTCATCAGAGTTGTCTGTTGCATCATCCAGTCCAATCCTCTCAACCACAATCAGGAAAATCATAGGTGATGATTGTAGATGGCAACCTTGTCTTACTCCTTCCTGTCTTCACTCAGCTTCCCATTGTCAATCACATGGCATGTAGCCTCCTCATATAGCATAGTATAGAGCTGTTGAATCAGGTTGGTAAAAGTTTGTGGCACTAAAACCGTAGTGTTCAAGCAGTTGCCTGCCAATTTACTTCTCGATCGACGCTGTCGAAGGCGTTTTCAAAATCAATGAAGTTCATGTAAAGATCCAGTTGACTGGCATTCTATGCTCTGTTCTATGATGATGCGTAGCGTAGAGTTGTGATTTGATCCGCATACGATTGTTTTTCCTGAAGCCAGCCAGCCAGCCTGTTCCGGTCGTAATTTTGAGTGCAGAGAAGTTTTTCCTTGGGATGGACAGGAACAGAGCATGATTTCACGCCAGCTCTTGCATAGACTTAGGTGTCCCTTCTTTGGGATTTTGACAAGTTAGTCCTTCTTCCAATCGTCAAGTACCTTTCCTTTTTTGTATACTAATACATAACATTAAAAAATTCCCAGTATAATTCAAAAGCTATTTGAGTGAACAAAGAATATTCTTTTCGATAATTTCTTCTTTTTCTTCAAGTCCTACAGTTTTATATGTATATATATTGAGAAATTATGTGTTAACAATATCGAGATTTCACTTATCCATTTGTTAACAATGTTATACAGTTGAGTAAGTCAATTAGAAAAGTCTTGTGGATATTAATGATTTCACTAATTATCATATGACTATCTGAAATATTCGTAGTTTGGTAAACTAGTATTTATACTGAGTGACGGTCGGAGGTGAAATGAAGATTTCGACCACGTCCGGATTCGAACCAGCGACCACTGGGTTTGCGGTCCGATGCTCTATCAACTGAGCTACGAGGTCCGACTGCTGACCAGTGTAAAAACGATCAGGCAATAGTAATACGTCACGAATTCACATGGTAATCAGCAAAAACTTATGGTGATTGAAATGAAATAGAAATCTGGTCAGCAGTCAGACCTCGTAGCTCAGTTGGCAGAGCATCGGGTCGGGAACCTGGCGGTTACTGGTTCGGATCCAGCTGTAGTTCAGATTCTCATTGTTACTGGAATTCAGTTCAAAATAATTGATTATCTAAACGATTATACAGTATAGATAATGCTAAAAGTTGATAGTTTAATAAAACAATCGGGAAGTGTTTATGAGAGTTGGATGAAACAAATTAAGAAAGATGATTTAAAGAATGATAGCTTAATAGAATGCCATTGATGTCAGGGAAGAAAACGGGTAAGAGAATTTGTTAAAAATGGCACGAAAGGATGTTCTAACAGGTGACAGTAAAGCGTTATACATACGAGTACAATTTAGAGGTGACGTGCTCAGTGAGATATCAATTCACAAACTAAGCAGATCAGTTTAGAGAACTTTTAATGTTAGCAAATTACAGATCATGTTTTCCACACGGCTAGTAGTTACATTTAGACTGAAAGATGAATTGCTTAGACCGGTCTCTCCCTGTTATGTTTATCAGTTCGACTGCTCCTTTGGAGTTAGTTACGTCGGCTACTGGTCTAGGAATTTAATTTTCAGTGCTCACTAACACCTCCCAGCATGGTTAAGTAAAGGTATGTTAAACACCATTACCAGCTGCATATTAGCACACTTAGTTGAAACGAACCCAAAGATTGATATGCATCAATCTTTTTTCCATTCTGTACCGCGTTTCCATCAACTTGCCAAAAGGTATTCGGCTTAAGATCCTTTGCACTGCAGAAACAGTAGCCATCAGGATCAAAAAACCAGAGTTATGTGTTGAAAAAAAAGCAAAGGTTACTGCTACAACTGCCTATTCAGGATGCACAAATTCCTTCACATCCTACCTCGGGTAATCTAATTTTCTAATTCCATACTGTAGATATCCTTTCATCACTATAATCTAAAATAATTTTGGCAAATTTTCTTAACCGATTTTTTTACCCAACATGATTAAAATTCTATCAAGTTATTATTCTTCGAATTGTCTTCCTTAGTTTGTTTCATCCAACTCTCATAAACACTTCCCGATTGTTTTATTAAACTATCACCTTTTAGCATTGTCTATACTGTATAATCGTGTAGATAGTCAATTATTTTGAACTGAATTCCAGTAAACATTAATTGTATAAAGGTAGTATTCATAATGAACTGAAATCATTTGGTAAGCCATTGAGAACCTGAGAGCATTAGATAGCTGTTTCGTCCTAGTGTGTGACTCTTCAGCAGTAAGCATCCACGACCCGGCTAGGGATTGGACTTGGGACCTTCAGGTTTCACGGTGAACGTGTTAACCATTCAGCTACTGGGTCAGAGTTTAGTAGTTCACAGTTGCCAAGTCCTGTCAATATAGGGTGGCTACCGCTCAAGATCTTCAGTTGTTATGCGCTTCCCTTTTAACTAGTTGATCCTGTAGGTCACGGCATCTGATTTGTGGCTGAATGGTTAACGCGTTCGCCATGAAACCTAAAAGTCCTGAGTTCGATCCATAGCTGGGTCTTTGGTGCATACTACTGAGGAGTCCCGTACTAGGACGAAACAGCTGTCCAGTGCTCCCAGGTTTTCAATGGTACCTCCAACTGATGTCATTCCGTGATGAATAGTACCTCTTAATTAAAAATCCTTATTCATCTTAGAAAAAGTAATAGATATCAGTTAAAAACTATGAAAGGTGGGAAAATACGTGTGAGAAATGATGAAACATTTTCACCCATTAGTGTTATTGCTTGTGTTATACCGTCATTGATCGATCTCTGTTGGCATTTAAGCTCCTGTGCGGATCCATCTTTACTGTTTTCACCCACTACCTAAAATCTGAGAAATAAGTTAGATCCTTCTGAAGGTGGAAAGTATTAAAAGTTACTTTTCTTCACCCACATGATGCAAAAATATTCTGAAGTGTGATAGCATTCTACAAAAATATACATTTTCATAACTGTTGGGATAATTCATTTTATACTGAATAGTGAAAAAGTCGCATAAAAGTTTGTCAAAAACAAAGACTGTAATTTTAGTTTGGTATTCTCGGAAACTTGGAGCGTCACGAAAAGCATTTCCAACAAACTACAGACATACATCACATCAACAGTTGCCGCCACCTACGCCCACTCGATACTGAAGATCATATGGCCAGAATAATAAGAATAAGCAACAAGGAACTCTGGCTGGCTGGCGACAAACCAACCAAGAAGGTATCGTCCAACAGATATGCAGAAGGAGAAAGTGGAGATGGATCGGGCATACACTGAGAAAACCATCCGGAAACACCACGCACCAGGCCGTTGAGTGGAACATAAAGGAGAAAGGACGTGTTGGACGTCCGAGTGTGACATGGAGGAGATTTTGTGAGAAATAAATGAAAGCTTGTAGGCAGTGGTGAAGCCAGGTTCAAAAGACTACAGAGAACAGAGTGAAGTGGAGACATGCAACTGAAGCCCTATGTTCCACTAGGAACCCAAGTAACAGACAATAATAATTCTCTGACCTTTGATGTTTTACTGTGTAGCGCTTCATCACTGGGCTAAGTGACATCTTCACCACTAACTTCATAAAGAAGTGAAGCATAATCCAATATTACACGATTGTTTAGATAGTGTTTTTATTAGCCTTGGATATTGTCCAATTGTAAGTTGACCTTAAATTTACTTCAGTCATGACATTAGATATTCTTTGTTGCTGTTTGTTGTTGTCACACTGTGTATCACTATTGATTTGTTCGGTTAATTTGCCCTTGGTTGATAGATGACTGTTTTCTTCTGAAGTAGATTGGCTCTATATCCACATGTCTGTTGATTGGTATTTCGAATGGATGCCATAATTCGAGAAATTCTCTTGCAACTTTCGAACCTGCTCTTTAGAGAATTTCCACATTCTCTTAGTCGAATTTGTGATCATGATTGTCTGAATGGATTGAAACAACTAAGGAGTCCTGTCTTCTTTTGGTAATGGATCCTTTGGTTTGCACAACATGCTGTGTAGTGATTTCGTTGATTTGTGAGCTACTCTGATTTCGAAAAAATGAAGCAATCGGTTAACTGTTTCTGAGATATGTTTGGTGTAGGGTAGTATAACGTGCCTATTGATTTGAATTATTTGCCTTGTCCTCTCTCCGACTGATAAACACTTTTTGATAAAGTTGAGTAGATAATCATTGACTTTGAATTCTTTGTACAGGTATTTTTATTCGGTTTTCCTTGGTGCTTTAGCACTGGGAATAATGTTTGTACACAACATTTCTTATGGAATGCAGGATGATTGGTGTTGTAGTTCAATATCTGGTCTGTGTGTATGTGTGTGTGTGGTTTTCTTGTAAACTTGAGCTCAGAGAACACCAAACTACCATCATCTTTTCCCCGCAAGTGGGTTAGATTTCATATAACCCACTAGTGTTCTGATTGATTTCACTCCTGTCTCTTTAAATGTACTAATTATTTCTTTTTCTTTCAAGGTTACTGTAAACTGGATAGATAGGATCCAGCTTTTACGAATAAACGTTTTCAGTTAGTTCGAGTACAGTAAACTCAGATGATTACCAGTCTTTTGATTTCTCTCTGAGAATCACTCGGGTTGAATCGTCTCGATTCTCGACTATCAAGCATTAATTATTATCGGTCATTTTTACAACTTCGCATAGTAACAATATCACGCAACAGACAGAGGTGACCCAGTTAAAGTGTACATAAGTAACTTATGCGCCATTTATAAAATTTAAAACAAAACGTTAATCCAATTTGGGGGTTTGTGGGGGAGGTATTCATTTCAAGTTGGAATTCATCATGGACTGACATCATAGCTTCTAGAGGTGATTCCTGAAGTTTCAATGAGAAGTCGTGACCAGTGGGGTAAACCTGGTGGACATGAGGATAAATACTCAACGATGACATTGGATGAGTGGAGTCGGGAATATGGACCATTGGATTCTGCCCCAGTGGCTTAATAGTAACGTGATGTCTACGGAACCTGAAGGTCGCGGGTTCGATCCTTCGAATGCAGGGTCATGGGTGCGCACTGCTGAGGGGTCTCATACTAGGACGAAACAGTCATCCAGTGCCCCCAGGTTTCCAATGTTCTTCCAACTGATGTCAGTTCATGATGAATACCAACTTGGAAACGTCAACTAAGTATTCGATATATATATATATATATACAGGAAAGTGGTAGTTCGTCATTCACAAAAGTTGTTTATTATCACAATCAGCTAATCAGGCTTGTTCATGCTTTTCTTTCAATAATTACCAGTCTTAATGTTAGTATGATTTCCATCTGTACAGTTAGTGTCTACGGAATAATATCTCCCATCTTTTAAAACAATACTCCTAGTCACTTGTATAGAATTTCATAACACGCATACTTTTGATGTGTCGATGTTTATCTGAATTGTGACCTTCACACACCAAGCTGTTCGATGTGCATTAAAACTAAAGTTACTGAAATGCAGAGAAGTTGACAGTCTAAAAGGTATATACATTCACAACTCCAAGTTGTCACACAGAAATCGTGAAATCTTAAAAAAACACATTTAAACATGTATGACTGAAAAACGTCCAATAGAGTGAGTTAAAGTTGAAAACCATATAGAAAAAGACAATGTTATGTGGTTCAAGCAAACTTTAGTGATGGGTGACCTTGGAGATAACCAATCGGGTTAAGGATACTGAGGTGAAACTCATTCATTACGTCCGTCTAGTATGGATTTCTCCCATCAAGTTGTTGTTTACAACTGGAGTACATACAAACAATGTTGAAAACGTAAGGAGTCATCTCAAATGGATTCTAAGACCCTTAAGATCACAAGGGGATAATGTTATGGTCTCATATGCATGAGTGGCAATATATACACTCGTATCGTTTCAAAGATAATAAACCTAATGAAAAGCTACTTATTTTTTTATTTCTCATGTGAAATAGATCTATAAATTATTAGTAAAGTACCGTTTTCCTTAATAACCACTTTGTCCTTCATATTCTCGATTGTGATTGGCCAGTACATACTTGAACGTAATTGGCCAACACTAAAGTTTATTTGAACCGTTATGTAATAATGATGTTTATATATGAACTAACCATAGGCACAGAATTGTCATCAACAGCTTCTGTTGTGAATAAATCGTATAAATCATCATTCCTGAAAGATTCAGAATTGACTGATTGTTTGACAATAGTGTTACAGTGTCCAGTTAAACTGCAAACACTCGGACAAATTCTTTCAACCCAAATCAGTGGATCGTAAAGAAATTCTTTTACAATGGATGGCTAGAAAAATGTATAGCGAAATAGTTATATTACATATATTACATATAAGCAGTTCAATAAAATCTTGTGAAAATTTAAATAAATTGAACAGACATGTTAAACTTTATGACTAAACGCATAGTGGTATGCAGATTAATAATTTGCTTTCTTCTAACGCAGAAGTTTGTTTGATATCTAAAACACTCACTTACGTAATCACTAGTAAGTTTCGTTACCTTTAAAGTTTAGTTTCATGTTATTGGTTATGAACAAGAAAACTACGCCCGTCGCAAACAAGTGGCCTAGTGGATAACAGTTCGGCGTTTGAAGCCATCGGTTCTTTCTGGGTTCAAGCTTTAGTGGGAATAGCATCACTGACTAAGAGGCAGCTGATGAGTGAATCCCAAACAGGATGAAACGCGCGTCCTGCATCCTTCTGTTAGCCACAATCAAGTTAATTATCATAATCAATAATCAGGCAATATCGAGGCTTCCGCATAGGAGCCCATATGCTAATAGAGGTAAAACAATTCGATCCTGTATAACAACCGAGAATTACAAGTATATCAACAAATAGGATGTTGGATAAGGTTGAGGAAGGATTCAGGTTAGCCATACCAAGATATGAAACTAGTCAATGAAGTCTCTTACTGTTGATCTGAGCCATGTGGGGAGAAGCAGACTGCCTGGTTGGGATCGCCAAGATGATAAGAATCAGTGATTAAGGACCGACACTTTTTAACATGGGCTGAAAATCGATCACAGTGGCGTAGATACATTTACTCTTCGACATCTTCCAAGGGTTGAATATTTGCATTAACTGTTATTGTCAAACTGTTAACTGTTTCACAACTTTACTGAACTTGATATCACTCTTATTCGATCCACCTGTTCTTTATATATTACTGTGAAGTGTAGCAAGTCGAGCCCATGTGCCTGTGTACGTTATCACTAGGAGACTCCGGCTGCGATTTATTGGTCACAGGGGAGTAACCAACTTCATACTGTCTAGTCCTAAGTGCTGATCGAATCCTATTGATCATCTTGTGTTGTGGCCAGGCCCAGGATTTCCTGCAGATAGCCTCTAACTAATTAACATCTATTAAAGTGCACCAAAATGGACAGTTTCCGAGCTTGGTGACCACACTGCAGAATAATCGATAGAATTCGGTGAGCACTCAGGACTAGACAATATGAAAGTGGTAGCTTTCCGGTGACCAGTCAATGTAGGTAGATTCAAAAGCTACAATACACTAATTTCAAAAGCAGACAAGTCTTTACTTACCTCACAGATTTCATTTCTTCTTTCTGTGCTGTTGCAATGTGTGGCAACTTGGATTTGTGTACTTTTCTGTCAAGTTCCGTTGTAATCGGTCTATCTTTTTTACTTACAACAAACTGGAGGAAGCTTTGACATTACTATGTTTTGAAAAGGGTGTCGATTCATGAGTGAAGGTAAAACAAAAGTATCCCTAGAAGTAATGAAGTTGCACTCCCTGGTTTTATAAATTTCTCCATTTTTAGAAATCATCGTATCGAAAATGATGCACAACCCTAAAATTTCATCAAGTTAGTAACAACTCAAGGATGTTTAACTTCTAAGTGATGGATGGTAGCTAGCAGCGGAGTTCAGGGCGTGAGTTTTGTTCTATTTAGGACTCGTCGGCTGGATGCACCTGGCTTATAGTGAGAGATGTTGTTCCCACTAAGACTCGAACCTGTCGCACAGCAAGTGGTTATCATGACTCGGTGGCTTAGTGGATAACATTTTGGAGTTTGAAGTGATCGGTTTCGGCTTCCAGTTCTAAAAGGAACACGATGCAGGTACATCGAGCCGATGAGTGAGTCCCAAATAGGATGAAACGTACGTCCTGGATTCCACTGCTAGTCACCCTCCATCAATAATAAAGAAATTGAAACGACAGGCAATATTGAGGCATCCGCGCAGGAGCCCATTACCAATAGAGACCGACCAATTCAGTCCATTCCAGGACAGGATAATACAAGCAGCAAGTTTTACGTTACCATACCGTAATAAATACATCAAGTTTAGTTCACACACAACACATCAAATTTGGAATTGATGGAGCCCAAAGATTGAATAAATCACTTCATAGTTGATGAAATCCATAATGAAAATGAATCCAGTGTAATGTAACATCAATCATGCATCCATTTGTGCTCTATGTTATGAGGCACAAAACTACCCAACCGTCTAAACACTTCTGGGGCGGTACCCTAAGTTTGAAATAACGAATCATTAGTTGTGAAAGTAGAGTACCGGAACTAATGCACCAAAGTTTCAGAAAGAATCATTTATCGTTATTTGACTATCCGAGATAGCTGTAGTTTGGCAGACTAGTATTTATACTGGGTGATGATTGAAGGTGTAATGAAAATTTGGACCGCGGCCGGATTCGAACCAGTGACTGCTGGATTTCCGGCCCGATACTTTGACCTCGTAGCTCGGTTGATAGAGCGTTGGGTTGAAAACCCGGTGTCACTGGTTAGAATCCAGCCACAGTCTAAATTTCCACTTCACTTTTAATCATCACCCAGTATAAATCATTTATCAGTCCACTATCGTTATTGTTTATATAGAAGTTCAACCACAGAGAAGATAACAAACCACTTACATCATTTTGGAGATCACCATCCTTTCTACATTTAGGAGAACTGACAGAAAACCATTGTAATTCATTAATAAGTCGTCGAAGATCACAATATTCAGTGGAAAGTTCATTGAAGGTTAGATTAGAAGATCTGATACTCTTTACAAGTGAATTAGCAGTCTGTACATCTAAATCATATCCTTCAGCCAAGGAAATCATACGAATGTATGGGATAACTAAATCCTTTGATAAAAAAAAGTAAGAATAAAGTATACAATTAGTCTATAATCAGAAATGATATCTTAACACATAAAACTACATAGGAATACAACAAACGATATCCGATTATGCAACTCAAATTGGTACAGCTCTATATACTAAGCTACCAGTCACACTTGTTGTATGAAGGCTTATGATACTATTACTACCCGATTACCTAGGTCGAATGAAGTAGGTGAAGTGTGATTTGAGCTCCAACGACTTGGCTCGAGAGTTAAGTTATTAAGCGAATGAGCTACATAACACCCACGCACCCCTAAAAAAACAACATGCAAACTAAATGATACAGATTGAACTAAAAATAGAATCTAAATGCATATTCAACCAATATCTGACTAATACAAAAGAAAAAATGGTGAAAAAGTTTACTTGAAGGACAACAACAAAAAAACTATGGCCAGACAAATAAAGCAGACATTACTATTAACAAAACAAGTGATTTATCTACCTCATTCAACAACTATATGCTATGCTATATGAGGATGCTACATGTCATGTGATTGATAATGGGAAACTCAGTGATGCCTTTGAAGTGAAGTGAATTGACGACAACTAATGATGTCCGTCAGAGATACCCACTATGACCATTTGTGCTTAACCTCGTAATAGATGTACTAATAGACAAAACCTTAGATATCTCTCACTTAATAGGGAATGATCTACTCCCCGGAAGTCATCTGGCTTACTAAGAATATACAGACGATATGTTCTGCTAGGTGAAGGCGCTGACAAAATGCAGGCTCTTTTGAACGGATTGAAAAGAACCCTGAATATATTTGGCATGCGTTTCGCACCTGTTAAACGTAAGATGCTCCACGATTGGTCCGGAAGTACTCCCAATTTAATGAAAAGGAGTTAAGTGGTTGAATGCGGAGACCACTTCATTCACTTAGAAAGTTATATCAGCCCTAACCAGCTAGTTGCTGACGAAATCTAAGCTTGGATACAGAAGGCCCGTTTGGGATTTGCCAACTTGCATCATCTGAGGAGCCGACTGGCGAGATATTCGATTACCTGTTAAAGGAATGGTATAATGCTCTGTAGTCCGTTGTGTCTTGTTATACGGCTGTGGGACATGGCTGTTAAAAGTGGAAGACATGAAGAGACCACAAGTTTTCAGACACAAATATCTTTGTAGCCCTGCTCACTTATGGTGGAATCAACATAAGAGCAATGTCGAGGTTAGGCGAAACGTTCTAGGCAATGCAGGCAGCTAAGTCGATGAGGTTACGAGCCTTGAGTGACTGAGGTGACTTGGACATGCTGCGCAGTCTGTCAACACCTATCACAACGTCCAATGCTAGAAGTTAGAATGTGTTGGAAGAAGCCCACATCATACCAAGACGTGGAACCAGTCCATGGAGTCTCTGACTGTTGATCTCAACCGTGTGTAGGTGTGCACGCTACCTGCCTGCCTGCAGTCCCCGAAAAAATAGGAATCAGTGGTTGAAGATTCCTGCTTAAATGGTTAAAAATCGATCATAATGGTGCAGGTGTATTGACTCGTTGATGTCTTCTAAAGCTTGAATATCTTCATCAGTCAGGATTTTCAATTCCGTTCTTCCCCCATACACCAACACCACTATTCACTTTGATGTCAGTCTTTTTCCACCCACTTCTTCCTTGCGTGTTTCGTGAAGTGTGGCAACTTGAACCCGTGCACTTATGTGCCAGGTGTTACATCAATTTTGTCTATCTATCCTCTTATCTTTCTTCATGTCTCCCAGTCAACATTCCTACACCAGGTTTGATTTCTTACAGCTCTGCAGCTCTCGATAACGATTGGAGTTCACCGAGTAACATCTTCGGTCTCCGGGAGAAGCGTTCCAAACTACACATAGAAGTTTTCAATGTCCACACTTTCCACCAAATCGGCCAACACGCTTAGCTAGCCAAAGCTCTAGTATCCCAGGTCATGGACGTGTGCTGTTCGCAAGACACGCTAAAAGAACTCAACTGTGGTTGCTTAGTCAACCTCACGTGACCAATTAAAAAAAATTGCGAAATCCCCCCTTCTTCAAACTTCCAGAGATTCGATTGGCTAGCTAACGCAGTCATGTAGGTGTAGGTCCTAAGGATAGAAATACATGTGGTGCATACATATGATGACAGTAGATCCTGGGATTCTTAAATGTTTCAGAGTTAGTTCTAACACAATAGGTCATATGTGGGATTTCCCCGTAAAATTAGAAAGATAATACAGACATCAAGCTTGAAGAGAAAAAACTTCATAATTTCCTACTACCTGGAAATGATCTACTAAGTAAACATTTTACTAGCGAATAAAAAAGCTTAAAGTCTAAAATGCATAAAAGTACACTAACTAATGGAGGTGAGATTGTATGACAAACATAAACTGGGATAGGCAGATTGTGAATTATCGAAGTATCTGATGCAGTAAGTACAACCGGACGGCGAGCTAATTGGAGTAAATTACTCAGACCAGACCAAAAGCCTCGATCACTTTCAAAAAGTACATCCACCTGAAATGATAGAGAAATCACATGAAACACGCATATATATACACTGACAAAGTAATAAAAAACACAGATAAGCGAAAGGTGCGATTTTCATGTTAGTATTCATCGTAGACTGACATCAGTTGGAGGAACAATGGAAATCTGGGAGTACTGGACAGGCGTTTCGTCCTAGTATGGGACTCCTCAGTAGTGCGCATCCACGACCCAGCGAGGGATCGAACCCAGGACCTTCATGTTCCGTGGCCGGCATGTTACCATTGAGCCACTGGGTCGGAACCCAGTTCATATTTCCTAATCGTGTGTCAGTTCACGACATAACACAACCACGACCCAATATAATCGTTGAGTAACTGTCCTCACGACCATCAGGCTAGCCTCACTGGTCACGACTTCCCATCGTAGACTGACATCAGTTGGAGGAACTGATGTCAGTCTACTATGAATACTAACTTGAAAATATTTCTAAATTCCCACAACACCCTCGAAAAGGTGCAATTGTTAAATGCTTAAAGAAATTACAATGTATAAGTAACGTAGTGTTTTAAAATATCCTTTTGTTAGATTTTCTATGGATACACTGAGTGTCGAAAGCGTAATATTTCAGACAACGCTATCTACCATCCCTGAATCCTTGGTAATACAGATAATTTTACACTCTCAGTTAGTAACAGATGGAATTAAAAAAGTACTGTAAACACTTGACAATCACCACTTTCAACTGTATACACAAACAGAATCTTACTCTGCACATGTAATTCTTACAAACAGTACCAAGTATTAAGCTCCTCAATATACTATCCCAGAAAATTTTGAAATGCAACTTAGTAAACCACCTTCGTACACCTTCGTGCAATCTGCAATCAGATACCCCCACTGTATGAGGGCTAATAATACCTAACTGACTGCTTACACCTCGGTAAGTAAAGCGAGATTTGAACCTTTGACCCATTGATTGAAAGTCGAGTTTCTAAATTGATGAACTACAGCTACACAAATTCCCGGGCATTTTTTGATCACGGACTGACATCATTTGGAGTACCATTAGGAAACTGAGAGCAATGGATAGCTGTTTCGTACTCTAGTCTGGGACTCGTTCACAGTGCACACCCACGTCCCCACGAAGGATCCAGCCTAGGAATGTCAGGTTTCACGCTAAGCATGTTATCATACATCCACTTAGTTTGCTTCGATATTTTGTCATGAATATCTCACCATCACCCAGCATTATTGTGGGACAGTCCAATTTGTCTGTCACACCTCAAATTACTCCATCAAGCGAGAATACATCGATGTTAAGGGCAATGAAAACTTTCAGAAGTGGTAGAAAGTTGTCAGAGAGTTAATAATAATGAAAGTAATTCACTTTATTCCAAACAATTTGTGATACAATTTAAAATTCTCAGCATGATATATTGCAACAACAACAAAATATATGAATGTATATACTTAACAAAATTTCGAATTGTGTTATCATAAAAATTTAAGTAATGTAAAGAGTATTAAAAACGAGAACATTTTACATTGTTAGTTAAATTATTGAAATGAGATTGTTAACTGTTACAAAGTTGATATGTGAGATCTGTTCTAAAACTTTTTTCCTCACATAATATGCGTGCTATGTAAGGTACAGTCGAATTCTTGTACTCACCTGTACAAGCATACAGTCTTGTGTGGTTTCTGCTTGCCCTCTCTGAGGAAATGCAAGGACAGAGCTGTGAATGAACTGGATGCTCACTGTCAGTTAAAGTTACAGCAGCTGGTTGTTTTCTGGAATTTAAATGTCTGTCAGCTGTAAGTGTTAATCATTTAGGTCAGGGGTACACCACTCACCCTACTGACTGATGCCTTTCAAAGCTCTACACAATATAACATAGTCCTTTCTCAGTGGACCAGGAAAGATCAGCGGAGAATAATAGAGAAGAATAGGTAAAATGCAGCAATTAATAAATTGTAAAAGTAGAGACTGAGTTAAACCATACAGCCTCAGTTTCTTTATGTAATAAAATAAATGAAAGATATTTTTCAAGTCAACAAGATATGAGATGACTAATAAACATCAGAAGTAAAACTCAACCCAAGATGGTTAACACTCGATTTACTTTCTGCACAAATGCCATCAATGTAACAGGCGTCATGAGACTTAAACAGCTCACACAAGTCTTGTTTACTCACGAGACTAAAGTTAACAGTTTGACATTTATAAGGGTTTAACTAGAGACCATTTGAGGAATGAGATAATCCTGAAATTCAGTATGAAGATGCAGATGAAGATAATGTGTGGATAGATCTGCACTATTGAGATCAACTCTCAGGTATATCATCCAGAGTCTCCACATCCTAGTTTCAGGTGTGATACTGATGCCAACTGGGAAGTCTACATTTCCCTGTATAGCTCAGATAAACAGTCAGAGACTTAATGCACAGATAGCATTCTTTGGATTTCCTTTATATGCGTTTGGTACTTGTCGACAGCAAGATGATTCTCCAGGACTGGTCTACCAGAAGTACTCCCAGTTTAATGATAAAGAGTGAAGTCGTGGAATTTTTCGACAGCTTCGCTTACTTAAGGAGTTTTATCAGTTGGAACGGGCTGCTTGCTGATGAAATCTTAGACCAGATACAGAAGGTCCCTTTGATATTTGCGTCATCTCTAACAACAAATGGCGAGATATCCGTCTACCGAGCAGTGGACGAGTATACTTACGTTGCAGTCCGTTCTGTTCTGTTACACAACTGAGACATGGTCGTTAAAAGTAGAGGATATGAAGTGATTACAGGGTTTCATCATACGTGTCTTCGTAACATTGCTCGCGTTTGGTGGAATCACCGTGTCAGCTGAGTTGAATTTAGATGAGGGATATTAGGCAAGAAAGGCAAGTTGGTTGATAAGGTTGTGAATCTTCGTCGACCGAGATGGTTTGAACACATGTTGCATATGCCGAGCCACCGTCTACCTCTACGTGTTATGCTGGCGACGAAGTTGGATTATGTTGGAAGACGGTTTAAGGGAGCCTGACCAAGACGAGGATTCTCGAGAGGAAAGGAATTAGTAGTTGAGAACTGACCCTTGGTGACATGGCTGAAAATCAGTCACAATATTACAGATGCATTCATTCCTTTATATCTTCTAAAGCTTGAATATTCGCACTAACCTTTATCTTCAGACTGTTTATTCTCTCATACTACTTCGTCTACTTTGATGTCACTTTTTTCCCACCCACCTGTTCTTCGTATACTACTGTATAGTGTAACAACTTCAGCCGACACACCTGTGTGCGCGGTTCTACGTTGATTTTGACAGTCAGTGTCAGTTACCAGATTTTATTATTGATATTACTAATAAAGCACACTGATTAGCATCTGTTACAGGTTCATTAGTTTCGTTGTTTTTTTTTACATACCTGAGAGAATAAAGATTGAGACAAATTAATAATTATCGTTTGACTATTTGAGATAGGTGTGGTTTGGCAGACTTGTATTTATACTGGGTGACGACCGGAGGTGAAATGAAAATCTGGACCGCGGTCGGATTCGAACCAGCGGTCACTGGGTTTCTGGCCCGATGCTCTACCAACTGAGCTACGAGGTCCGACTGCTGCTCAGATTTTTATTTCACTTCAATCACCATGGGTTTTTCCCGACTACTGTATGAATTCGTGACATGTTACTACCGCCTGATCGTATTAACACTGGCTGCCTAGTCAGGACTTTTCATCCCAATCCAAGTCTAACTGAATTAGAGAGGAGGAGAGCATCATACTCATTATAGTATTTATCACGAATTCACATAGTAATCGGGAAAAGTGAAGTGAAATAAAAATCTGGTCAGCAGTCGAACCTGGTAGCTCAGTTGGTAGAGCATCGGACCGGAAACCTGATGGTCGCTGGTTCGAATTCGGTCACAGTCTAAATTTTCACTTCATCTTCAATCATCAACAAGTAAAAATCAATAAGTTTTATCTGTTGCACAACTGTGGAACAAGATCCGGGTTTTCAACACCAACGTCAAGTCACTGCTTCTGTATGGCTCAGAGACTTGGCGCGTTACAAAAAAAATTTCCAACAAACTACAGATATTCATCAACAACTGCCTACGCTGGCTTGCTGCTGAAGATCAGATGGATTGCCAGAAAGAATAAGCAACAAGGAACTCTGGCTGGCTGTCAACGAACCAACCAAGAACTTATCGCTCAACAAACATGCAGAAGAAAGTGGAGATGCATTGGGTAAACACTGAGAAGGCTGACTGGGGACATCACGCGGCAGGCCAGGCCGTAGAGTGGAACCCCGATGGGAAGCGACGAGTTGGGCATCCGAGGGTGACATGGAGAAGGTCATACGAGGAAGAAACGAGAGCTTCTGGGCTGTCATGGAGCCAGGTTCAAAAGTTTGCAGAGAACAGAATGCACTGGAGACGTGCTACTGAAGTCCTATGTTTCATTAGGAACCCAAGGACAAATAATAATAAATTTGTTGTATAACAAGGCTTTACAGTTAGATAACTTAATTGAATAATATTCAAAATCCAATAATGTACAAGTTTACTATTAGTAATTACCTCATCAAATAATACAATTGAATTACAATTTAGATTTAAACTGTCTGAATCTAAAAGAAGAATAGATTGAATAAGTAGATAGTGAATATTAGAGTATACCTTTTGTAGAATTATTAACTTTCTTATTGTTATTAACAGTATTTTGAGATAATGGTTTAAAAAAATCCACTGCAGACCTACATATTGATGATTTTGGCTTATTTTTAATTGAAGATGATGACACTTGAAAATAAAAATATTATTAAAAAGAATTGAAAAAGATTTACTTATCATTTGAAATGTACTAAAACTGGTAGATAGATTATCTTTAGCAACATGATGTGAATTCAATGCACTCTGAAATTGTGATGTAATATCTTTACCAGAACGTCTTGTTGATGGGTTCAATTCAAACACCTATAAATATAGATTAATCAATAATTAAAGTTACCTTAAAATCTAAATCTTTAGCTAAAGCATAAATTAGTGAAGATTTTCCTGTTCCATGTGGTCCTACTAATAGAAAAGCTTTTGATTGCCAATTTGAATGTGAACGTTTTTTCTTTCCAACATCATCATAATCATCGCCTCCATTATCATTATTATTATCATCATCATCACTAGTTGTTGGTGAACAATCATCTTCTGAACTGATTATGTCGGAGTAATCGATTTCATTTTTATTGTAACCAATGGGTAAATAATTGGTTTCAAAGGTTTCATTTTTCTTTTCATTTGGACCGGTATAAGGAAAGTTATATTTTTGACGTTTACCCGCTGAACATTCGACAATAAAATCATCATCACTAGAACTGTTTAAATCAGTTTGTAGTCTTTCTTCGAAAGAAAAATATACAAGGCAGTTTCGTTAATATTATATAAATCAAAATTTCATAAAATAGTGAAATAAACGCTACGAGTAACTAGAGTAATATACTTGTGTTTATAGACCAGTTAAAAATCATGAGGTTTTATATATTGATCTTGGTGACTAGTAGAAGAATCCAGGATGCATGTTTCGTCCTACTTGGGACTCATCAGCTAGATGTACCTCCACCCTAGTGCGGAGTGATGTTGTCCCCATTGAGGCTTGAACACAGTACTTATCGCTTCAAACGCTAGAGCGTTATCCAGTAAGCCACCTCCTATGCACTGAGTATCAGTTAGTTGTTATGATACATGTAACTTTCTATTGCAATACAGCGCCAAATTGCTCGAAGCATCCACATAGGAGCCAATCTGCCAATAGAGGTCGAGCAATTCGGCTCTGTAGAGCAACGGGAAATTACAAGTGTCATAAGTTTTAATGTCTAAAGTGTTTCATTATACAGGTTATTGCTTAGAAAGATCGCTGAAAAAAACGAACAGGAGAGAAACGAATATCGCAAACATGTACATACATTGACTAAAGGATAGGTAAAAAGAGTCAATAAAGGTGCACCATGTTGTACTATGTAGAATAAGGCAAGTAATAAATTTGTCTCTCTCTTCACAGATCGACTGATTGATAAAATCAACGTAAAACCTCGCAGATAGGTGTTATCCGCTCAAGTTACCACACTCCACAGTAGTATACAAAGAACAGATAGATACAAAAGGAGTGATGTCAAAGTAGACGAAGTAGTGTGAGAGAATAAACAATCTGAAGATAGACGTTAGTGCGAAGATGTCGAGGGATGAATGTATCTGTGCTATTGTGACTGATTTTCAGCCATGTCACCAAGAGTCAGTTCTCAACCACTAATGCCTTTCGTCTTGAGGACATCAACCAGGCAGTCTACACCTCGTAACACGACTGTGACCAACAGTCGGACTTCATCGACTGGTGCGACATATTCTTCTGACCACCCTAAACCCTCTCACAAAATAATCCAACTTCCCCACTAGCGTGGCACGTCAAGGTAGGGGTTGGCTGGGCATGAGCACCACATGACGAGACCATCTCAGTTGACGAAGTTTAGCAACCTTATCAATCGACTTGCCTATCTTGCATAATATCCTTCACCTGATCTCAATATTGCTCACACAGTGATCCCACCAGACGCCAGCAATGCTACGAAGACATGTATGATCGATCTCTTCAAAGATCGACCTATAGGAAGTAAACATGGGATAGATTACACCTAAGTTTTCATAGCTGGGTGCCTGTAGGCAGAAAAAGAAATCTGATTCATTATTTGTCATCAAGAATTCGAACGATTTGTACAAATGATACTATCGACGATGAATTGGACAGAATACGGGAAATTCTCATACAAAATGGATACCCATCCAGATTTATTGAAGAAGACTTGGAATACGAAGGAAGTACTCATATCTCCAAAAGAAAACCTTATTTATGAGCATTGGTTTCAAAGGTGATATAGCACCAGAGAGTCTGAAAAATCGGTTATCCAAGTCTCTGAAGAAGATATTCTCTGTCAAGCTACAGATCACCTCCAGTTACCAATTGGTTTTGGAATATCTTAAGGATAGGTTGCTGCTTTATGTCCACTTCAATGTATGTCTACAAACCTACTTGTTCCGGTGGTTGTCATGGGGAGAATGTAAATCAGTTGACAGTTCAATTCATAAACATTTGGCCAACTCTGGACACGTAAATAACTCCACCAGAATCTTGCTTCCGCATCATTCACAGAGTCGAAGGAGATAATTTAAAAGGAGTGAGCTTTCAGCAGTCGTTCATAGCAAAAGCATTGGCAATTCATCAATTCAAGCCTGATCTCTGCGTACAGAAGAAGTATGTTCAATCTCTTATCTCACTTACCACAGTATTTTCGACTTCATTATAATTAGCTAGTTTACTATTATCACCTTCATTAAGAGCCTTGTCTTATTCTTCACCCTCTTTGTATCTATCGAATGGATACTCAACCATCGCATTTCACATGTACCAACGATTTTCGCTTTATCAAACTCCTTACATTCCTTATTATTTTCACAATCTAAAAGACCATTACGCAACTACTTCTCGTCCTTGATTTCGGCTTTTTAGTACTAACTTAATGATACAACTACACACTATCGCTTAATAATAGACTGTTATATATTTATGATATATATAAATACGATTGTACAACTCTAGGAGGTGACATCGTCGGAAAAGAAAATTTTCTTTGCTGAGTTATATCTTCTTTTTTTTATCACTCGATGGGGGGTGTCTTGTTATCTAAGAATATCATGACAATGTGGTAACTAAGCATAACCTTTTCATCTGCTTTATGATGCCAAAGTTAACAAAGAAAACGAAATCCAAAAAGTAACCAGTATAAAAGTGTACTCCGTTGGATTTGGTAGACAGTGCACTAGAAAGTTTAGGATTTGGAAGAGGAGGAGGAGGAGAATGAATGAATGAATGAATGAATGAATGAATGAATGAATGAATGAATGAATGAATGAATGAATGAATTATCCATACAAACTCGACCGATTTTCAACAGTATTACTTAACTTTCCCAACTATCAATTTTTACTGCATTGGTCATACCATCCATACAATGTTTGACTTCCTACATGAATCAGATTAACAGTTGGTGATACTATCTTGACTTGGCCTCATTTTCAAGTTTCTCCGATGATACAACTTCTAACCTGACTACCATAACATGAGAACCATTAACAAAAGAAACAATAGAGTTACAGCATGATTCTCATTAGTTTTAGGAAGGAACAACATCTGATAACTCCTGTCATTGAGTCGCATGACCTCTTGGACTTCATATGAAAAGCCTTGAGACACTAAGAGATACTAACCAAACATAATTTATCCCACGTCACCACGACATACATTAACCAACTTTCTACTTCTTCCAACCAGTCATAGAGTTGGAAAGCAACGAATATCATGAAGGTCATTGAGATAACATTTGTAACACATGTACAAGCGACTGAAATCAGTGTTTAGGGACAAATCCACTCATTACATTCAGATACACACCATCGTAACTTAGAACTGTTTACATGGTGGTTGCATACATGGAGCCACTGGCTCATCAAAGTAGAGGAAAAAGGCCAATCCAAAAATTTATGAAAAGCAAAGACTAATTACTTATGAGTTAAAAGTAATAACTTACTTTTTCTTGATTTCTTCTTCGAAGTTTTACACAATGACTTCTTCGGTAAATAATCTCCTTTGGAATTTTTATTTCTCCATTTCTCCAACCAATGGCGCAGTTTTATTATCCCAGGACAAGTATTTAAAAAGCAGAACAACTTGTAGGCGTGTACTTGTCAACCCACAATTGACATTCATTTTTAACTATACATCATGGAAAAACAAACATAAAAACAAGTTTAAGCTTTGTGTGAAAACCAATAAAAGTCAAAGGGTACATAAAAATTGCAGCTGGTTACATTTTAGTAAGCAGTGAGAATTTCAATTTCCCTACATCGATTTATGTAATAATAATAGAACTCTGAATCATAAGGTTAATCCATACAGGAATTGACATTACTGAGAAAGTCCCAGTAGCCACACTTACGCTAAGATAGAAATTAACACACAAACAAAATTAACGTAGAACCTCGCACACAGGTGCATCAGCTCAAGTTGTCACACTTCACAGTAGTAAACAAAGAACAGGTGGATAGAAAAGGAGTGATGTCAAAGTAGATAAAGTAGTATGAGAGAATAAACAATCTGGAGATAACGGATAGTACAAATACTGAAACTTTAGATGTCGAAAAATGAATACATTTGTGACTGATCTTCAGTCGTGTCATTAAGAGCCCCCAACAGCTGATTCCTTTCGTCTTGGGAATCCCTGTCAGGCAGTCTATATCCCCCCACAGGGTTATGGCCAACAGTAAAAGACTTCATCAACTGGCGAGATGTCTTCATCCGGCCACGCTGAACCCTCTTACAACATAATCCAACTTCGTCGCCAGCATAACACGTAGAGGTAGACGGTGGCTCGGCATATGCAACATGTGTTCAAACCATCTCGGTCGACGAAGATTCACAACCTTATCAATCAACTTGCCTTTCTTGCCTAATATCCCTCATCTAAATTCAACTCAGCTGACACAGTGATTCCACCAAACGCGAGCAATGTTACGAAGACACGTATGATGAAACCCTGTAATCACTTCATATCTTCTACTTTTAACGACCATGTCTCAGTTGTGTAACAGAACAGAACGGACTGCAACGTAGTATACTCGTACTCTGATAGATAGTTGAATATCTAGGCAGTAGGCACCAAAGATGGCGGAAGTTGGCAAATGCCAAACGGGCCTTCTATATCCGAGCTGAAATTTAGTCGGCAACCAGCCCGTTAAAGCTGATCCAACTTCCCAAGTAAGTGAAGTGGTCGAAACATTTCACCATTTCATTCCCTATCATTAAAAATTAACAAGAGGAATAAGAATAATATTCACAGTAATATAAAGTGGTAAGATAAAGACAGAATGTGATAAAGAGGACTAGAATATGTGATATCACAAATTAGATGAGAGTGAGAAGCAGTCTATGTCACTCCAACTAATTCTCAGTTATATAACTTAGACTCTTAGAGCCAGCGGTTTCAATTGTTTAGAGGATACCAACCAAGAAGCCAACACATTGAAAACAACAGTCAAAAACGTCAAGGATTGGTGATGCGTACGGTCTGGATTCTATTAACGTTTTCGTAAAATCCTACTTCAGATGACTTTAGTGTTCGGGAGATACACAGTGGCTTAACACATGCAACATACATACCACTTGTTTCAAATGATGCAAATTTACAACTCCCTTACGTAAACTCCAACCCTAACTGCTACTTTGCCAACGTAATGTTTCAGTTATACACCAGCAATGATTACTGGAGTTTTCTTAAATCCTCCACGTTTTAAGTCCATGCTTTATAGATATGGAGTAGGACATTAGAAAGAAGTCGAAAACCCACTCACTAAATTTGTGCATATGCGTGCAGTAGGCGATGAGCCACACCCATTGTGCAAGAGTTCATGATACTACTTGGCTGCCAAAATGTCAGTAGGTGGGACGTTGTTCGAACAAACGACCCACTGGTTAACAGTAATCTCCTTAAACCAAAGAGCCACAGTTTTAGCATAAGAAAGGATAACAGAAATATCAGATTACTCAAGCGAATTTACTGAAACCAAATTGACGAAAGATTATCAATTTTTTATCCGCCTGTTCCACAACTATTGTTATCGCACTTAACTGCTTTTACTTTATCGAAAGTTCTATTTATCGATCAAGAAACCAGACGGACAAACAATATGTTCATTTAAAAAATTTTTTAATGCACTGCTTACCAGGTTGAAATTGGGCTGTTCTGGAAGACCCAGAAAGATAAGATTGATAATCTTGAAAACATTTAGAAATCGGAAAGTTCGGGTAATCAGTTGTGATTTTCTTAAGGCAGATGTCATGATCTTTAACTTCTGAGACGTAAAAATCCATCATTCTCTAGAAAATCATCTCATCGCATAATACCAAGTTACCTGTTCCATTTGGTGCATAAACTGGTTCAAAACAGAGAAATATGACTGCTTTCCTGAACAAGTTGAGTAATCTAGTGTTTTTGTAAATAGACTAGAGGTATGCTGCGAGGAGTACTCAGAACCCCAAGAAAATGAAAAGTCCACTTTTGGACCATATATAGAAGTATCAGACGAAATTTCAGTCGTAGAAACGCTAACGCTACTAGCATTTTGTGATACATCTGTCAATGTCTGTAAGGTCGTTGATTGATCTCGCAATGTGTGTTGATTACTAGAGTTTAAATTACACACTCCATCAGTACATGTAGGATTCTTCAAACTGGCTAAAAAGTCGGTAAAACTCATTTGTTTGATATTGTTTCCTCGAACAGTACCATTTGTCTTCGTCTCGGAGTTCATTGATCGTACAGAGCAATCGATAATTCTATTATTTCCTTGCTTGTACTTCATCACACGTAGTCTGAAAATGAAATCAGCCGATACATCATCATCATCATCAAAATCAACATAGGACCACGGCATTACTGCATAGCAGTCCAAGTTGTCACACTTCATATCAGGACATCAAGTAACAAGGCAATGAGATGAAAGGTAAAGAAAGAAAATCGGTAGAAAGAAGCAAGTACTAAAAGATAGGAAGGGGGAATGAGGAAACGATGAGATTAAGTATAGCAGTTAAGATGAGGATAATGTGTATACATCTGACTCACTGACGATGATTCTCATCCATTATACATCACCTAGAGTCTCCAACCACTGATTTATCTTGACCCGCGGGCCCCAAGAGACTAGCCTGCATCGCCCCACATGGCTCAAACCAACAGTCAAGGACTTCATGCATTGATGCCATGTTTTAGTCTGGCCGTCCCGAGGTTTTTTATAGCCTGGACCTACTTCGACCAACATTGTGCAATGAAGATGACGGTGGCTAGGTATACGTAACATATGTCTCAACCATCTGAATCGATGAAGGTTTAAAACTGCATCAACTGACTTTCCTCTCCTTACTAAAACTCTATACCTAACTCCTGCGTTACTCATGTGGTGATACCACGAAACGGCTTATACTACGAAGACGACGGTGGTCAAACACCTGAAGCCTTCTCATGTCTCCTGCCTTTAATGACCATGTTTCACAGTCTTAGAGTAGAACAGAGTGGACTACAGTACAGTACACTCAAACCTTAATCAACAATCAGATAATGCGGCGGCGCTACAGATGGGGTAAGTTGGCGAAAGCTAACCTAGTCTTTTGTATGCGTTCAGAGATAACGTCGGCCACTGAGCCACGTGGACTGATCCGACTTCCCAGGTAAGTGAAGTGCTCCACGCACTCAACCATTTCATTCTCTGTTGTTAGTCGGGGCACCACTGAAAATCAGTCCTGGAGCAAAATTTTTCATTTGGGTGGTGGAAAAACGCATCCCAAACATTCTCAAATTGCTGCTCAATGTGTCCACAAGACTCTGCAACTTGTCAGCGTCTTCATCTAAGAGGACTATGTCACCTGCGTATTCTACGTCTATCAAAAATTCTCCTGTGATTAGGTCAATCTCTGTGTGGTCAGATGACGAGAGACCTCCATAAGAACATCTATGACAAAACTGAGTAGGAATGGGAAGAGTGGACATCCGTGACGGACACTACTCGAAACACAGCTCGCCCGACATCTCACCACAGACTCTAACACGCCCACAAGTTTTCGAGTAAAGAGCCTTCGATAGAGTGGTGTATTTCCTCGGTACTCCTCTCGGTGAGAAAGTGTCATAAGAATTCTCGATCAACGGGGTCGAACACCGCCTTTGGGTGCAAAAATACAGCTATTGTCGGGGTCTGTAAGCGTCCCTGTGTTGCAAAACTTGGTGGAGTGTGAATATTTGGTCGATACACTCACGGTCAGGTTTAAAGCCTATCTGGTTTTCTCGAGTTTGTTATTCCCGAACTCCACTCAGGCGTCTAATGATCACAGAACCTGGAATCTTAGGCTGATTGCTCTGTGGTTGTCACAAGAGGACTTCTCACCTTCCTTGAAGACAGGGATAATCAGTGATTGAGGTCAGTCAGAAGGGATCATACTTGACACCCACACACCAGCTACCACCTTAGTTAGCTTGACTAAAAACACTACCAACCTGCTTATATACCTCAGGAACCAGTCCGTTTGGCCCTGTTGCCCTTCCTCGTTTCAAGTTACCTACCGCTTTTTCAATGTCTGCAGGTGTTGAGGGGCTTATCTCAATGTTCCATTCGAGATCCGATTGGGTGGCGGGTGACGCAATATTAGCTGGAGGCTAGTTGGACTGCTTCTCAAAGTATTCTGCCCATCGTTCCAGTCGTCTCCACCTCAGGTGAATTGCAAACTCATCCTTCTCCGCTCTAGTTCCATTAACCGTTGACCTTTCTGCCCTAGTTTCCTTAAGACGTATAAATAATTGTCTACTGTTACCTATCCCTGATGCATTTTCATCTTTTCAGCCTTTGCAGTCCACCACCGTTCGTGGTCATTGCGTAGACTGTTTGTCAGTCTAGGTCTGATTTGGGTTCACTCTTCACCATACCCGAAGTCTATAGGGATGGGTTCGCGTGCATCCACTAATTCACAAGAAGCTGCTGATATCCACTGGTTCCTTTCAACCACTCTCTGAGAGTCGGGCACGGTCTTCAACGCTGTTTTCATAGCACACTGGAGATGGCACCAAGATTCTTCTGGATGATTGATAGTCTTCTGTCCCGATAACTGCAAGGACAATTTCTCACTGAAAGCCGCATTAGTGCTCTCATTGTCCAGCTACACTTGTAATGGTCTTGTTGCTAAAGTTTTCCTACGTCAACTGAGACGCAGACATATGTGCACTGGAACCAACGCGTGGTCGCTACCCGAACACTGTACTCCAGAAAGGGCGACAATCCGCCACCGGTCCTCTCCAACGGACTGGTAGTAGTGTGGTCTATCTCTGCCCATCGGTGAGTTGAGCTCAGTGGATGCCACGTCAGACAATATCATTTTTATGTCTGAAGTTTGTGACAACTAGAAATGAACGGTTATCTGAGGACTATCTTACATCCTATAGAGGTAAAACGCACACCAAGTTATTTGAATTTTGTACAAAGTGTTCAGAAAACTGCACTTAGTGACCTGAGTAAACTATATCAATTACACATTCTCAATGCAGTAAGTCAATCACTGAGGCGTTAAAGGTAGACAGAGTCATACCTGTCAGCACACTCATAATAAAGCTAGTTAGGAAGAGTGAACATCAGTGGCGAACACTACTGGTTAGGAAACAATAAATGTTGGGCACTAGTAAACATGCCAGTGTTCCAAAACCCGTTTGACTGAAAGAATGTGGTCAACACACCAATATCTAGGTTTGAAACCTGCCTGGTTCCTTAATGTAAGAGTAAAACTTGAGCACTGTAATAGGCCTTAATTCGCCATACTGGGTTAGTGAAACAAACTGAATAATCGCACTTGGGTCCTGTAGCGTGTATTGCTAACACAGCACGCATCCGTGGTCCGAGATGCCAGAGATTTTGGCTAGTGAAACGTGTTGGTTGATATGACAGAGAGTATGGACATTGGGAGTTGCAACATGTAGTTTGGAACACAGGCGTAGAAACTCAAACTGTTACTCAGTATAATCAGATCCCGTGCTATTGCTGACTGACCACATTCCTTAAGGTGCAGAGACAGACAGACAGACAAAATCGACGCATGACCTCGCAAACAGGTGCATCGTCTCCAGTTGCCACACTTCACAATAGTAAAGTAAGAACAGGAGTATAGAAAAGAAGTGATATCAAAGTAGGTAAAGTAGTGTAAGTGAATAAACAGAGACGTATACAGATTACTGTATGATCAAATTTAAACCAAGTGCTCCTAAAAGACCAGGAACCCATTGATCCTCTCGAACGATGGGTCACATGGATATTTATTTGTACTAAATAATTTATGGTGGATGGCGCTACATGCAGTTCGTGCTCGCCAAGAACAAATAATTGTCAGTTAGTCGGTATGAAATTTCGAAAAAGCCATCAAGATGCCATTTATACTGCGTCAGCCATACTACGTGAGCTTCATAGTCGGAGACTAACATGCCTATAACTGAAAGTACCACACTGTGTTGCAAAACTTTCAGCTTTTGGTAAAACATATCTTTTGCATCACTCAAACGACAGTCGATGAGCTTGTGGACGGAAGGTTAAAAGTAAGCACCGACATATCACGGTCCTTTTTAGTTCTTAAACATCACCCCAGGTAAACTGGGCACAGACTACTAAATACTGCTTTTAGGTTAATTAATGCATTTCCCGCTTTGTTATGTGGAACTGTGGTTCGTTGGTGTATGATTCATGACTGTCAACCAGTGGGTCACGAGTTCAAACCCAAAGTCAGTATCGTAGCCGTCACACAAGGGATGCGGCTCATTGTATAATGTACGAATGTGCACAAGGCTGCTGAGTGCATTTCGATTTTCGACTTAACATTAAAACATAACCTGGTCAATAGGAAGTAGTCATCGGATTCAACAACTGAATTATTAAGATTTGTCACACTGTCCTCAACCCAAATCTACCCAGCAACCCTGTGCACATTCGTGCAATATGCAATGAGTCACACCTATTGTGTGAAAGCTAATGATACCACTTGGATACGCGAACCACAGTAGGTACAGCTGGGTTTGAACCCGTGACCCTTCGATCGAAAATCAGGTGCTTATACCAATAAGCCACAGCTTTAGATCAAGTGTATAAACATATGGAGATCCTATGTGCACGTCTCAGGATAACAGAACACATCCATAGATCCAGATTATATAGTTTTAGCGAATGAGGACTAGGCAGATTCAGCATAAGCTTCGGAGTTTGAAAGCTCCAGTGTGAAGCCGGCAGAATAGTTTGCAGGCAAATAGTGTTTGGATAGGCTAGACCACCAGCAATGGTCGTAGGGTAAGCTGAGGAAGGCGTAGATGACATAATATTCACGTCAGTGATGCTGCCATTTGGGATATTGACACTCTAACTACTCAAACCGCGAAAGTTAATGCGTTCGGGAATAAAAAACAACGTTCAGAATTATTGAGTCACCTAAAATGATTTCGTCCTAGGAAATAAGTACATATCGGTCGAAGCTTCAACCTTAACAGACCTGTAAGTAAGCGAGCTGAAACTGAAACACTGGCATGTTCAAAATATATGGATAACAAAAAGATCTGCCTAAAAAAATCCACTAGGAAATACCACAAGAATGAAGAACTAAGGATAAAAATTCGTGGGAACTTACAAACCACTACTAGCGCCCAAATATCTTCAGCGTTCAAGGTCAAGTCCTTCATTCAAATGCTCGGAAAAACTCACAACATGCAATATTGCTGTGATAAAAATACTATGCCAAAATTGAAGAATCAGGTGTTCATTCGCTGAATCCTTAGACAAGAAGTCTCAATAAAATTCAGCTTTCTTGGTTTTCAAGAACGCTTTTCGAATGGTGTATCCTGGATAATAATAATAATTTACTTTACTCCAAACAATTTGTGGTACAATTTGGAATTCTCAGCGTAACATATATCGCAATAGCAACAAAATACAAGTATATACATATTACTTTGCAGTCTCTCGAATTGTTTTATCATAAAAATTTAAGTTATGTGAAGAAGAGAAAATTTTGCATTGTAAGTTAAATTATTGAAATAAGATTTTTAACTGCCACAAAGTTGATGTGTGATTTCTGTTCTAACACTTCCTCACAAAATATGCTTGCAAGGTAAGGTATAGTCAAATTCTTATACTTAGCTGTACGAGTATACAGTCTTATGTAGTTTCTCTTTGTCCTCCCTGAGGAGATGCATGGAGAGAGATGTAAATGAGGTGGATGCTCACTGTCAGTTAAAGTTTCTGTAGCTAGCAGCTTACAGGAATTTACGTGTCGATCAACTACAGTGTTAACCACTTGAGCCAGAGACCACCACTCACATTGCTGACGGTCTTCAAAGCCCTACGCAACATAACATAGTCCTCTTTAAGAAGACCAGGAAAGATTGATGAGGAACAAAAGAGAGAAGGAATAGGTAAAATGCAGGAATTGATAAATTGTAAAAGAAGCAGTTGAGTTATGCCAGAAAGTCTTTAGTACCACGTTTCGTAAAAATGGGGAACATTTGCGCACAAATATGTCAAAAATAGATATTATGCTCATTTCGACTTTGTTTTCGGAAAACGTTTCATTGTGTGGTAGTGAAAAATTGATACAAAAGGGTAAAACGTAGGAGAGTTTTCGCATTCCAAGTAGATAAAAAAGCGCCGCCCCGAAAAAGATTTAGAATCAAAAAGTGGTTAGCACATTTTAACTGACACCACTTGGTGGGACATGTCTTTAGATACTCTGGGAACCCGACGGTTAGAACCGATCGTGTTTTCGTCTCGCCGGCGGTTGTTGTAGCTGTGCATTACCAGGCACATCGTCAAGAATTTCCATAATTGGGCCACCTGCCGGTCGGCTGTAATGAGCTGAAGCGCCACTTATGATGGGGTTGCCTTCAGAATAAGCTGGTTTCAAACGACCGATACTGACAGTATCGTCGCATCCGTTTCGGTCAATTATATAGAATTTCTCATTCCACTCGACCACTTTGGGTGGTCCATCGTAAGGTGGTTCAAGTGGTCGACGAACGGCATCGTGGCGGATGAACGCGCGTGATGTCTTCTGCAGAGCGGGATGAACGAAGACATCATTCTATTGAGCGAGCGACAGTTTCAGTAGTAATACCCCTAGTAGGTACCGCTGCTAGCCATCTCGTAAAACGATCCACGCGTATGAAAAGGTGGGTGCATCGGTTGGATTCTGGCAGAGGTCCTACAATATCTTCATGGACGTGGTCGGAATGCATGTCTGGGGCCAGAAAAGAATCCAAAGGGCTTTTCGTGTGTAGTGTGACCTTGCACTTCTAACAAGCTAAGCGTGGTTGGGCCCACTCCTTAGCGTCCTTGTTCATTCCCGGCCAGCAGAAACGTTGCACGATAAGCCTGATAGTGGCTCGTTCACCTGGGTGGGATAGTTTGTGCGACGTGTTGAAGACGTCGCGTCGATATCTCTTCGGAGCTATTTGGCGTGGTTGGCCAGCAGAGGCACCGCATAAAACTGTACCCTTACCTGATCCTACTAGGGACAGTTGTAACTTGAGAGTTGTGGACGACGACTCATAATGCAGCTCAAGGCCTTCTTTTTGACACCGGCTAGTTCAACGGGACCAACGCCTTCGACGCCGTCTATCGAGGCCATTCGAGATAGTGCGCCAGCCACAAAGTTATTTACCCGGAAGTGTGGCAGGTATCTGACGTGAACTGGGGAATACAATCCAGTTGTTGCGACCCGGAGGGGAGTATTTGCCCGATGCCGGGCCAAGAGAGAAGATTAACGGCTTGTAGCCTGTGGAAATATTGAAGCCACGGCTCTGTACCAAATGTCAAGAATCGCGTGCGGAACAGCACGTAGCCCAGAGTTTCCCACCAAATGTACCGTATCTTGTTTCCGCCTCCTGAGGCCGCCTCGAGAAGAAGGATAAAGATTGCCACTGGTCGTCAGTCAACTGCTGTAAAACTGCTCCGATTACTGAGTCAGATGCACCAACAGCGATACTCAAAGGAGCATAGGGATCGTGATACATAAGCATGACTGCGTTCGAAATGGCCTCCTTGACTCCAGAGAGAGCAAGTCTAGCCGCGTTGTCTGGAGTCACACACTTCTTAGTCCCTCGAAGCAGATCTGTAAGTGACTCATGACAGGGGCATAGTTGGGGATAAACCTTCGGTAATTACTTACCAGGCCGTTGAAAGTGCGGAGCTGCCTCCCACTGGTCGGCTCTGGATAGGTCATGATAGCCTCCACTTTATCTCACAATGGGTACACACCTTTGTTGTCAGTGGTGTGCCCAAGGAAGCTGAGTGAATCAACTCCTATTTCGCACTTTTGCAAGTTTGCTGTGATGCTATGTTTTTTAGTCTTTTGAATACGAGGTCCAAATGTTTAAGGTAAGTTTCCCGTATCTGAACTCGCAATTAGACAGTCACCGATGTAGACGTGAACAAAATTCAAACCACGGAAGACATCATCCATAAAGCGTTGGAATGTTTGTGCTGCATTCCGTAGACCGAATGGCATGTGCAGGAATTCAAACAGTCCAAAAGGAGTAATAATGGCTGGTTTCGCGACATCTTTGGCCGCCATAGGCATCTGGTTATACGCTTTTGACCAGATCGATTTTGGAGAATATGTCCATTCTGCATAACGTCGCAGTCAAGCCATGAACATGAGGTAACAGGTGGCAGTCCGGTGTTGTTCTGGCGTTAAGCCGTCTGTAATCGCCGGTTGGACACCAGCCGTCACTATCCTTTTTGGAAACCATGTGTGACTGTGATGCCCAGAAGCTACCTGAAGGTTTGATAATGCTCGGTTCGAGGATGTGTCCATATTTACTTTTCGCTGTTTTGAGCTTATCAGGAGCTGGACGTCATGCTTTGGATGCGACAGGTGGACCTGTGGTTGCGACGTGATGCATAACGTTGCCGGTTATGCCCGGAAGAGTGTGTGCCGGTTGTTGTAACTCTGGGTGTTTCCGTAACACTGCTTGATAGGACACGTCGCCCGATTGTTTAGTTCTAACGATGGCTAAATTCAAACCTACGTCGGTGGCGCCACCAATAGATAACTTCGTGTTGTTATCTATCAGTCGTCGACGACGAGCATCCACAAGTAGATCGTGATAGCGTATCCATGCCAATGATGGGCATAGAAACGTCAGCCAGGGGGAAAATCCAGTGAATGGGTTTACGTAAACAAGAGTTGAGGTAGGCACACCGTTTCCCAAATGTTGCGATCGCCTCGGCGTTAGCTGCATGGGGATTCAAAGATGGATCATGATGGCGCTCCTTCGTGGGTGCTGAAAGAACGCTGACTTCTGCGCCGGTGTCGACGAGATAGCGGGCTTTCTTCTCTCTATCGGCTACGTAAAGCAGATGGCTGCTTCCGTTGGCTACGGTTGCCGTGAACGCGTAGCGGCAGGACAGTTTCCCGAGTTTGCGTCCATGTTGAAACTGCATGGCTTCCGGCATTTTCTGGCTTCATCTCCGTAGGTATTGTGAAACCAGCACCATATAGGGTCTTCCACCCTGTTGGGTCTGGTTTTAGACAACCACGCTAGTCGCTGCGATGGGCTGAGACATGTTTACGTGACGTGCTACGTAACCTGGGGCTTCGAGTCCGTAGCAGCTGGTTAAATGAGTTGCACAGTTTGGTAACTTCTGAACCTTGGCTCTCGGGTTTATCCCAGACAGAATATACGTTGGAGACGGGTCTGCTAGAGATCTCCAGTATTTTGTCTGCTGAGGCTGCCAGGTCATCGAGTGGAACCTACTGGAGTGTCACTCACACGGTTTGCACCGGTCGTGGTAGTTTCGAGAGAAACAGTTTTCAGAAAAGGCCACTATCGGACGTTCGTATACCCATAACTTCCCACGTGCGTGCGAGGAATTCAGTGGCTGAGTTGCTGCTTAGCTCGATGTTACGAATTAATTCGTCCAGGCACTGGTGATCTGCGGGATCACTTTTTTCAGTAGTGCAGCTATGAGAAGTGCATAAGGATCATTTACTTCAGGACTAAACGTATGCGCTGTAACCTACCTGTTTAATTCCCGTGGTAGTGAACGCGTGACAGCGAGAAATCGAAAATGAGGATCTGGGACTCCTTGTTCTCGAAAATCTGCCTCGGCTTACGGAAACCATGTTTCTGCATCGTGTGGCCAGTATGACACGAGTTGGATAGTATTCGTCGTCGGCTTTGTATGGACAAGCTTCGGAGTATGGTCAGACGTGGGGAGGAGTTGTTTGTGGGTATATAAAGGTTATCAAAATGAAAACAATATACAGGTAAAAAAACACGGAACAGGATCACCAATTTAGGATTTGTTCTTGGTTAGGATTTGTCATCAAGTAAGGCTCGCCAGTTTAGGAATCGTCCTAATGTGAACCTGACAGACACGAAGGCCAATCACTAATTGTTCGAACTTGTTATATACCCACAAATATGAAACCAAGAAAGAACATAATAGCGTGGTCGGATGGACTAGTATATTTGCGAGTTCGTGCCAGGATGCCGATGCGTTCCAACTGACTGGCTAGAGGGTCGATTACGAGCAGTGCAGTGTGACACGACAGTGTGCCAAGCTGTGAGGATGCTTCACCGGGTGCCCTCAGCTTAACGAGCCCGGTAAAACTATAAAGGTGAGCATCAATGTTGAATCTGATCGAACCCTGGGCAGTTGATTCTGAAGAAGTGTGTGACGCTACAGTACTGTAGAGGAGGTAAGTTGGGGCCTGACGTCCTTTTACAGCCATCAACGCAAGCTAACACACTTTGAAAGTCTTGACCTGCTTGATTTGGCCTCAGTTGTGTGCTAATGATATTGCTGAACGTACGCACATTTCCTCTACGCCAATTTTCGAAAATTTCATAAATACGTAGTCCTAGCATTCGGGAACCGTCTTTTCTCGATATTATCGGAGGCGGAGAACAGCCACTAACTCCTCCTACCTGTAGAACACCAGAGTGCGAGATTGGGGAAAAACACAATAGCGGACCAAAATACCGGAACGCTTTGGGTAAATGGCTAGATGATAGCATGCGCGCGACACGAAGCAACATGACAATGTGCCGAATGGCGTGGATGTTTGACCACATGCCTTTGGTTTAACTAGTCTTTTATAACTATGAATGTTAGCCTCACTTTTGAATATCATCTAACCCTAGGCAACGACTTTTGGGAGGCTATTTACCACCCCAGTCCAATTTGTGAGAACCCGAAGCCAATACCAGCGAGAAGTAAAAACCTAACGTCTTCTCTATTAGTAGGACTTTTCAACGTATTTATTCTCAAGCTGTGCACTCGTATGTATACAAATGCTACTTATGGACTGCAGTTCGTGAGGAAGATTTAACTCAGATAATGCGAAATGCTGGTTGTCCTAATAGTATTGCTAGTTGATGACGTTTTCATGGTATTAAAGACTTTCATTTATATTCCAGATGCAACGAACACTGAACGGAACGTCAAACGACACTGGTGGTCGCGATCGACGTGCAATCCGATGTATCGTATTTTATTTTTCATTCGCCATGACACCCTAGAACAAGTTCAGACAACCAGGGGCCACTTCTCGCAATGAGCCCACCGGAAGAGTTTTACCAGTGGAGAAACCACTGGGTATTTACTGCAAGGGGGAGTGATCTGTAGCGTTGCAGCATCCAGAGTTTATAGCCTAGGTTTCGACAAGATTCAACATTGATGCTCACCTTTATAGTTTTACCGGGCTCGTTAAGCTGAGGGCACCCGGTGAAGCATCCTCACAGCTTGGCACACTGTCGTGTCACACTGCACTGCTCGTAATCGACCCTCTAGCCAGTCAGTTGGAACGCATCGGCATCCTGGCACGAACTCGCAAATATACTAGTCCATCCGACCACGCTATTATGTTCTTTCTTGGTCTCGTATTTGTGGGTATATAACAAGTTCGAACAATTAGTGACTGGCCTCCGTGTCTGTCAAGTTCACACCAGGGTATTACCGAAAGCGTTCGAGAATTCTCCGTCGTAGCAGTTGCCCCAACGGATAGACTTTCAGCCAGTTTATTACAACTAGGCTAATGTATCGGATATTATCGTTGAACTACACTAATTGTTAAACCGTTGGGTTGCATCCCAGCATAGATCTGTCTTACTGTATCGGGAGCGGTTGATGCATTTCATTCCAGTGAAATGTAATATCGGATATTTTTTCAACAGCTTTTTTCTGGCATCTATCTGTTGTTTATTCTTGAGGGCTTATCTGCAACTATTAAACAGAAGGGAAATCCTCTTCTTCCTATGACATGAACCAGTAGAGTTTTATGACATTTTTACATGCCACTGATAATTTTAATCAGGAATAAGGTCCGAATAGTGTGTAACTCTTTCGGTTTTTCCTAATTCAGTAGCATAGGCATTGCACATTCAAACACAGCGCTCGTTTCGAAGTGTGGAGGACAGGATAGTATGAAATTATGAGACCCCAGTCAAATCACAAACCCAACGTTTTGGACATCAAGTCAGAGCTTTTTGACCTACTCAGGCAACGGAAAAGCCTAACAGTAAATGAAACATACTATATGGGACTAGATATCAAATCTTAGGAAACACTTGCTGCATTAGAACGTCAGATATACCTGTTTGAAGGTAGTTATCTTGACGACACAGCACCATACGGGAACATTATCAAGGGTTGGGACCGATACTTGATGTCTAACACGTCGAACTCCACGATCACTGGTAATTTAAATATTTTATTTCTAGGACTTTTGGAGATAAACGTGCTAGGAAATTTCGTGATTCTGATCGTCTTTTTTCAAGATCTTCAGTGACTTCAGTTTCGGTAGGCTCAGTACGCAGCATTTTACCCTTTCTTATAGTCTTTGAATTCGCAGAATGAAAATGAATCTGGTAAGCGCTTAGATATGTCAGTGTCCTAATTAGATTCCTTGTAAATAAAATAATATCGTACATTTTACAGATTCTATAGTCTCTTGTCATACATTCAGGGTAAACTCATTCAGACTAGGTCCTTATCATTGAAAGATATGGTGTAATATTGGAGTGTTATCCTCTAGTTGTGCAAAATACGAGTCTAGTTATTCTGTTTTTGTCTTTATTAGAAATGTCACACAGTGATACTGTTTCACTGTATGATATTTCTAATAAACAAAGTAAAATGGAATTGAAATGGACCACTGCCCAGGTTTTAATTCTATATTAAGCCTAGTTAGTATCATAATATTAGTCAGTAACTGTCAACGGATTTAGAGTTGTTGACCCTCACTATATCGGTTGCTCGGTCAGTGGAACTCGTTTTTCCGATTCATTGTGAGTAACTGTCCTGCCTAATCTTATTGTCGCATTGCTCATGTCTACGACTTTCTACTGTCTTTGAATTTCCTTATTATTTCGTCTGGTTACCTCCTACCTTGACATGCTAAGTGGCAATTGGATTGTCATGCGGTACTGCTGGGCTCCATGCTTATGCTGGCTGGGAGGGCTTGTGAATTTTGGTCCACCAGCCCTGTGGTCTTTAAAAGGCTCCAAGTTACACCTGTTGTATAAAGCTTAATGAGGTTATGTGATTTCCAAGTGCTCTGCAAATGAGCAGGGCCGGGTCAGAATTTGATTCTAACTCAACGTATCACAACCCCATTTGAAGTGGACTTCTTAATTCCGACAATCTTGTTTCTGTGGTAATAATGAGGAGAACTATGTTCCTTTCCTTTGGACATTTGGTGTAGTAAGCTAATGCGTCGTTCATTATTACCTCTATGTTCACGTAGGTTGGCAAATCTGCGTTCAGACATACTTCCCTGTTTTTTTTATTTTTATCAAAGCATAACTCACTAAGGTATACACTACATGAATACTAAAAAAATCAGTATAAAATGTGTAAACTGCATCAGACAACGAAGATGTCACTAAGTTTAGTGGTGAGACGTTCATGAAAAAATATCAAAGCTCAGAGAACAAATCGCCATCATCCTCAGCTATAAATCTTTTCTATCATTTCAGCACCAGACAATCCGTGATCCAACTTACCACAATTCAGAACTTGAGTGGTAGTAGATTAAAAGTGGAGACTTACAAAAATTCAACTGACAAAGACAAAGTAAAGGCAATATAGGTAGTAATTGGGAACCAATAAACACGGGGGTAACTGAAGGTTACTTGATGTAACACTCGAAGACTGTGTTTTTGTTGCTGGCCTTCGTATCATGATAATTAGCAGATAGGTCCTAGAGATTATCCCATACGATGTTATGTATGGTCAGCCACAGGTAGATACCCTTTAAAGTTTTGTAGTCAAAAAATCATGTAGTTCAGTTAGTCAGTTACTTCGCTGTCAACGGTCATGTTACTATTTTTAAAATAGTAATCACTTCATTCAAGACTATTTTCGATACATTATGTAATCCTCTGTGTAATATTTCAACAAATCTACTCGTACAATATTTTCAGACTACATAATTATGAATAAAAATAATAAGATATATATCAGCGAACAAATATTTCTCAACGACATCATTATCAAACTGTACAGTACAACTGTGTTCGTGTGCAACTTATAAGAGGAAATAGATGGTCAACGTAAGTACCGATTTCGTTCTCTGTTGTTCGAAGAAACGTCATTTCGCACCACTCCTAAGGAAACGATTTACATTCACGAAATAAGAAATGTATTCCAAATCCTTAGATTACTATAAGTATTAAGAAAGTTGTGAAATGGTACTTTAAGTGAAACTGTCAATATTGCAAGTTCAAGGGAGAATGTTTTCACTCGAAAAGGTGTAACTGAGCTGTCATGTGCACATCTGTTCCCTAATCTGTAAGCCATCTGTTACTCAACGGCCAATTTGGCCGCCTGACAGCGCAAACTCCGTTAGGTTCGGAAGGTTCCAACTCATGACCCACTAGTTGAAAATTGCTTACGCAGATCAGTAAGACACAGCTTCACCCTTACTAAAACTTTTTCCCTAGCGTTAAGCGATATGATAGTATCATTTATTCTTACTACAGTTACGGATGTAGGTGACCTATTCGAATAACCCACATCTTTAGTTAGATACGAAGTTCTCCATGCCAAGTTTTCACCGTTCTTGGTGGGAACATTGAGTTTTTCTGTGATTATCACGTTTGAGCATAGTGGTAAAATGTAATTCACATCAGATAAGGCAGTGTAGAGCTGTGGCTCATTGGTTAAGAAAGATGACTCAACCATTGGGCTACGGGTTCGAGCCTCGCTCTACCTACCGAGATTCGAGAAGCCAGATAGTACTAATAGTCCCCACACAATCGGTGTAGCTCATTGTCTACTGCATGAATGTACACAAGGTTGCTAAGTGCATTAAAAGAAGTAAAACAGTGATATCAAGGGGAGATGAATATTATCAATAAATTGTGTTCGGAACGTTATCTAGTAAGTAATACTATACCACTGTATGTTATATCAAATAGGCTGGTCTAATATGAAATTTAGTTTCTCACCTGGTACTTGTTCATATTTGCATGTCTTTAATTCCATCTTTTAGTAAATTCATCTTATGATTAAACGGATGAAAATCCTTCACATATAAAAGTCTATCATCAATAAGTACGCTAAGAATATCCTCAGTGTTCTGATCTTATTTTGAAACGGTTACACTTTTGATGTTTTAAGATGATTCTGACTTTTAACTTTTACAGGGGTTCCTAATGTACCTCCGACTAACACACATATGAGTGGACACTACAATCAATCGTCTCCTAATTTCTTGGCTGATGGGTTTCCAAGTAATCAGTTTTCGCAAGTTGGCAAGAATTTCTCCAGTTACAGCAGCCCTTCACAAACGGGGAAAAAGAAAAAATCCAGGCAACGGTGAAATTCGCTTTTTTGAATAGTTTATAATTTTATGTTAGTGTATCAGGTACAAATATATACTGAAAAAGCCGCAAGAATGTATTCTTAAAAGAAAAGAAAACTTGTTAGTTGGTTTTCTGTTACTTATTGTACCGTCTGTTCTGAAAATCAAGCTTAGGTGAAATATAAGGAGATTGTTTTTGAGGTGGCGTGTGTACTTTCTATAATAACGGTATGGCGTAACATGAACAAATCACACTTTGGATGTTATGCCTTCCATCCTGTTCTGTTTAGTAGTAACAATAAAGTGTTTGCTATGTTCCGAAGTATGCTTTACTTACATTATAGATCATCATCTATATCAACGTAGGACCAGACATTACTGTGTGACGGTCCAAGTTGCCATGCCTCGTATCAACACATCAAGCAAGTAAGCACCAAGATGTAAGATAGAGAAATAAAGAGTCGGTCGACAGCAGCAGGAAGTAAAAGAGAGAAAAGAGGAACAAGAAAATACTGAATTCATTGTGACGATTGAGATGAAGGTAGTGTGTGGATACATCACCAATGAGGTTGATTCTGAGCCATGTCACCTTGTCTGTAACCACTAGCTTCTGTTGTGGACCCCGACCGGCGAGTTCACATCTCCCTAGGTAGCTCAGGTCAAAAGTCGACGACCTCATGCAGTGATATCATGTTTTAGTCCTGCCACCCCGAACCTTTTGCTGCCTGAACCAACTTCAGCTAACATTGTGAGGCGAGGCAGACAGTGACTAAGCATGCGTAACATATGTACTAGCCACCTCGGCCTATAAAGGTTCATAACCTTGTCAACTGATTTCCCTCTCCTTCCTAAAACTACGCCTGAATTGTACGTTACTATTGTAGTGACACCAGAACACGGTTTGTTCTACGAAGGCAACGGTGATCGAACACCTGAAGCCTTCTCATGTCCTTTACCTTTAATGCCCATTTTTCACAACCATGTAGTATAACAGAACAAACTGCATAGCATTAAAATCGACCTTTAATAAACAGTTGGATATAACGGCGGCGTCATAAATGGCGTAAGTTGTCGAAAGCCAGTCGAACCTCGTGTATCCATGCAGAGATTTCGCCGGTCACTGACCCACTAGTGCTGATCAAACTTCTCAAGTAAGTTAAGTGGTCAAGGCAATCAACTGCTTCACTCTCTACTGTTAGACAGGGCATCTCTGAAAACTAGTCCTAGAGCAATAATTTGCATTTATGTGTTGATCAACACATCCCAAACATTCCCAGATTGCCACCCATCATCTCGTCAGCCTCTCATATTCACGTAACAGGAATGTATCATCTGCGTACTCAACATTTAAGGAATTCTCCTGTGATAAGATCAATCCTAGTGAAACCACACTACAAAAGGTAGACCTTCATAAGTACATCTATGATAAAGTTGAATAGTAATGGAAAGGGCGGACATACGTAACGGATACCACTTAATGTAAACAATTCACCATAGGCTCTAACACGCCCACAGGTGTTCAAGTAAAGAGCCCTCAACAGTGGTCTACTCATCTGGTAAACCTTTCAGTGAGATATATTACCATAAAACCTCTCGATTGACGGAGTTCAATGTCACCTTAAGGTCAAGAAATGTAGCCAGCGTCGGTAAGTGTCCATGTGTTCCAGAACCTGGCGGAGTGTGAGTATTTGTTCGATACATCCACAGTCAGATTTGAAGCACACCTGGTTTTCTCGGGTTTGCCGTTTCTGGGTTCCACTCGGACATCGAATGATTGTAGAACCTAGAATCCTGGATACTATTTTCGTCAGGCTAATTCTTACATTACAGAGCTCTCAGATTGTAATATTGCAAAATTTACTCACTGTGCAACATTTTTCAAACATTAATAATAATAGTAATATGGTTTACAAATAGATCATGGATGATAATATTATTGTTTAAATACGTAATGACAATGGATTTATAAAAACTTTTCGCTATTGGGCTTTCACACAATATACAAGCTAAATAAGCTATGGTTGTATGCAGTTTTAAGTGCATAGAGTAATGTACTTCCTTTCTGCCTTTTTGAGGACAGACAAATAAAGGTTCGGATGCTTGTCATCAGATTAAATATGTGTAGCCAGCTGTTAACAAAAGTTAAGATGTCTTTCGACATCCGAGTTTTTTAGTACGGTCAATAGTGTAACACTAGCTCCACTGACATCCTTCAAAATCTTACGCAATATAGGAGAAGTGTAATCTACAAGGGATGTTTAACATACAACTTTTGTCCAGATTGATGAACAGCTGCAGTATCTAAAGTACTCCTGAGTTTATAGACAAGCTGATTTGGATCACCGAAAACCTCTAACAGGATCTAAAGCACAAGTATTAACAAATTTTCCATTTTAAAAACAAGCAGGTTACTGTGGCTAGTCAAAATCTCATACTTGCTTGGGAAGATATAGACTTCGGTACCGGGACTATTATGATTTCCTTCCAGGTGATTGGTGTGTCATTCTTGGGAAAACTCAATAAAAATGTTTGTGAATATAACATAAAATGTCAGCACATTTGCTAAATAGAACACTTGGCATGCCGTCTGGTCCTCAGCTATGTGAGGCCTCTAGTAGTTTTCAGGATTTGAGTACCTCTGTTTCATTGGATTTAAGAAAATTAGCACCTATTGTGGGTGAAGAAATAGATAAAATAACACTTGTAGGCTTCATTACTGAATATCCTTCCACCAGCAAGGTCTTTGACCAGTCTCTTTATACTAGAAGGGTTATTACATGACATAATCTTTTGTTTATATACTATATGTAGACGCCTTATTTCAGATCTAATCTGACGTCAGTATTATCATTCGCTTTACATAGTTTTACTTTTTATCTTCGTAGTCTCTTTATTTGCGGAGAATGTCTATGATACTGTAGAAAAAGTATTTCAGCTGGGCAACAAATATCAAAATGAAATTTCAGATGACATGTAACAGCGTCGATAGTGTCATCCAACACCACTTTTCTTAACACGCAGAATTTAGACAGCATTGCCTAAAATCGACCAGATTGGTGCCGATGTATCCAAGTCTGGTATCGTTCGTGACAGTTCAGCATGAGTGCGTGATTATCACAGTCAAAAGGTACCTTTATTATCTAGTGTGAGACTAGTTCAGAGTCAGGATTTCAACTTTCTCACTACTAAGCAGGTGTTTTTAGTGCGTTGGAGATTATATTATTGATGGATAGTAGCTAGTGCACTGGTCAGGTGAGTCAATTTAATAACCATCCTCACACATACCAAGTTGAAAGATCCAATGTGAAACCATACTGTTAGCACCGAAATGCCGCGGGATGTACTACTTTTTAAGTTCAACCATACAAGAAAAGTCTGTTGGATCGTGGTTAGACAAAAATGTTCTTAAGCAAAGAGATAATATATTATGATGGCCTAGGTCAGTCATCAGTGGTAATCCTAAAACACAGGACATATGTCCGACCACATCTGTAATGCAGGCTAACTGTAGTGGCACCAAAAAGGCTGTACATGACCGGCCTCAAACAAATATCCTATGGATTCTTCTATCACAAATCTTTTCCCCATTCAGGTGCCCGAAGAAGATTTAGCCCTCCACGGTATGAGTCTCTGGGAATTGTCAACTACCCTCCTAGCTATGTCAGCCCTTAAGTTTCCTCAGACCACTATCCACCTTATGATCTCCCTTCATGTCTACCTTTCCTCTCTTTTGCTACTCTCAACTTCTTTTAACCGATTTTTCTTCATTTTCTATTTTATTGCCTCGTTACTTGATGTGGTGGTATGAGATGTGGGAACTTGGACCGTTAAGCAGTAACGCCTGGTCCTAACTTGATTTCGATGCTGATTTTGTATAAAAATATAATTTTGTTTACATTAATTAGGTTAATGTTGAGTCGAGAGTTGTTTACATTCTAGGCAAAAGTTTTATTTGAAGGTTTGTAGGGACTGGATTGATCTCAAGTTGATAGTATTCATGAAGGACTGACATCAATTGGGAAAGCATTAAAAATCTGGAAGCACTAGACGGACAGTATGTGAGAACTTTCAAATTTCTCTAAGGGACACGTTACCCCATTTAATCAGCCACTAGGTCGAAATTCAGTGATCCACACTTATCTACTTCTGTCAATCCATATACGATATAGTACGATCTTTATCTAACGCAATTGTTGAGTATTTATTCTCACGACTCCGTAGCACATTCACTAGTGATGTATACTGCCGAAAAGTCGCATACTAGAACGTAAGAGTTGTTGTACACTACTCTCGACCCAAATGCAAGTTTTTTCTCCAACATTCGTCTTCAGCGGTGCCGCGGCTAACAGTAGAGAGTGAAGTGGTTGAGTGCGTCGACCACTTCACTTACCTGCGAAGTAGGATCACCCCTGGTGGCTACCTCAATGACCGATGGAATCTCTACACTAATCTCTCTACAAAAGACTCGATTGGCTTTTGCCAACTCACACAACCTATGGCGCCGCCGTGATATCCGTTTGTCTATTAAGGGTCGCGTGTACTGCTCAGCAGTCCGATCTGTTCTACTCTATGGCTGTGAAACATGGCCATTGAAAGTGGAAGACATGAGAGGACAGGCTCCAAGTGTTTGACCACCGTTGACTTCGTAGTATAGGCCGCCGTATTTCGTGGTGCAACCACACCACGTGAGTAATGCAGAAGTCAGGTATAGAGTTTTAAGGATTAGAGGTAAATCAGTTGACGAGGTTGTGAACCTTCATCGATTGAGATGGCTGGTTGGGACACGCATTACGTATACCTGGTCGCCGATTGCCTCGTCACACAATGTTGGTCGAAGTAGGTCCAAACTGGAAAAAGGCCCGAGGTGGCCACACTAGAACATCGCACCAATACATGAAGTCTCTGACTGTTGGTTTGAGCCATGTGCGGCGATGCAGACTAGGTGGTTGGGGTCCACGGGACAAGAGCCAGGGTTGGAGACTCTAGGTTATATGGCCCAGAGCCGAAGTCAGTGGCGTAGATTTATCCCCGCATATATTATCCTCATCTTAACGACGCTATACCGAATCTCACCATTTTGTCATTCTTCCTTTTTTTCTTCTCGTACTTTATATTTCTTCTGACTGAATTTCCTTATCTTCATCCTTCGCCTCACTACCTATCTACTTGATGTACTGATATGAGCTGTGGCAACTCGGACCGTTATGCAGTAATCCCTGGTCCTATGTTGATATTGATT